GAAAAGGTGGGGGACGCGTCTCGCAAAGTTAGAAGCTGTCACGGCATTAAGATCTATCGCGCCTCCAATATTTATATTATAACCCCTGTCGAAGCCAGCAGCAATATACGTCTACATTGCTCAGGTTGACCGGCCACAAAAAATACTAATTTTCTCCGTTCAGGATTCGAAGTCAAGTTCGTTGCAGAGAGGTCTGAGTGAATCTCTGATGAAGACTCAATTCAGTTTGTCCGGATTCGTCTCCGTTCTACCGGCTAGAACCATATGGCTCAGTTTAAGTAGTATCTCTCTGTCTGTCAAATATACTTTTATTCAGCAGTTCACCTAATAGTTAGTCAACTAAGTTCATATTTCAACCCGAAGAATATACTAATATCGTTTTAGTGGGACCCCCCCCCCCCCCCCCCCCCCCCCCATGGTACGAAATAAAATACATAATCCGCATATTCATCAAAATGACTCCTCGAATGCTACTAAAACCTGAATTTAAATACGAGTATCAGCTGCTTAGTGAAGCGCCAGCGGGTTAACATGCTCCTTGGCTCAAGAAGCGCTTGCTTAATCTTCGTAATTTTCCTGCAGCGTGTGTTCTTGACCGAGCACGCGACTGGAACTGTTTCTTGAAACGCGGACACGCACAAAAGCTCAATTTCGCGGACAGATAAGTCGCATGGTCGAGGCATGCGAGTTAGCTAAAAATTACTTTCGGTGGAACAATTTTGTAGCCATTGCCACTTTCCTTAGATGATCAAAACTAATTAGAGTCTATTACCGTTTCTCCGGAGCCCATAGTTTCGGTTTTGAACGAAGTCTCCGAAACGAAAGTTTGACATGAAAAGAACAAAAAACACTGGCAAAACAAAACTATGCTCGGCAAGTTTATGCGCACCGGCTACACTTAACCGTTTCAGTTCAAATACCTATAAAATTGGGCACTAAACAAAAGAAAATCTGTTAAATTGAATGCGCCACCCATTCAGGCGGCCCGGCCGAGCCGACGCGACGTGGACCCAGCCGCAAAAACTCAGCAAAAATGTTTCGTTCCTTGCGGTGTCTTGCAAATAAACTGCGGTGACAGCCGAGGCTTGCAGTCTGCTGCGCAGAGTCTACACACAATTACATTGCATACTAACCATGTTACGTGACGTTACAGCGTCATGTGACGCGAGATACGGTATCACGTGCAGTGACATCACAACGTCACGTCATAGCGTCAAGTGACATGAACACGTCATATTATACGAAAATGTCGAATAGAGCGGAGAAATTTTTCCCGATAAATTTAGCGGAGAAACTTCCCGGCCGAAAAACACACCAGACCCATACAGGGATCCGCCGCGAAACCTCTCCGGCTGCAGCCGTCAGAGTATCGGGGGTGTAGCTCAGTGGTAGAGCGTTCGCTTTGCATGTGAAAGGCCCCGGGTTCGATCCCCGGTACCTCCAAGCTTCTTTTTCCATCATTGGTCACATGTCATATGCAGGAGAAACACCGCCACCGAGCGCAAATGAAAAAAAAAAAAAAGAAAAGAACGTTTTTTTTTTCTTTTGTTTTTTTTCTGAGAAGCGTTTGATTGGTGGCTTACTTGCGAACTAGCGCTGACGTCAGGACTCATCAATCTGGAGCAGATAGTGGGAACTTAACAACGCGAACTGCCGTTTCCATCTGCGCTTGTGTCATCACGGGATTGAAAGGGGGAGAGGATTCTCGAAACGGGCACATGATAACGGAAGTTATCTTGTGCCCGCTCCCCAGCTCCCCCCTATCTGCTCCACATGGACGAGTCCTGACGCCAGCGCTAGTTCGAACGGAAGCCACCATGCAAAAAGCGCTCCTCAAAAAAAAAAAAAAAAAGGTTTGTTTACGTGGAGTTTTTTAGTACCGGCATGACGGTACCTATAGACCGATCTCACCAAGTGTTCGGCGCATGCGTGATTCCGCCATAACACCCGCAGAACGAGCTCCAGCGAGGTTGTCGCACGCGCAGAAAGACTAAAGTTCCCTCGATGCATTGCGGCAGCTGTGGCGTAGTCAGACTGGCTGGTGAGATCGGTCTCTTGTCGTGTCCGGCTTCAGGGCGCCGCCATCTTGCTTGACTGGGGTGCGCTCGGGCGAATCATAATCCGATTACGAAGCCTTGCTGAGGCGTCGTAATCGGATTATGGCCGCGCCCAAGAGCGCACCCCAGGGAGGAAGATGGCGGCGCCCTGAAGCCGGACTCGCCTTAGCATGGACTAACTGCGAAGGCTGTGCAAGCGCGACCGGCCAGCCTTGACTGCCTTGATTGGAGCACTCGCTGCACGAGCGCCCGTGCAGCCGCCGAGGCTCCGAAGCAACTATAAGGATTATTCACTGGACGCCATATTCGTGGGTGCTGTTTAGAGCGCATGCTCAGAACGAGCTCACATCAATAGGCTGCTGAGACCGGCGCTCCTGATGTAGCGGAATGCACGTTGCAAAAGAACTGTGGAAGCTCGCCATCAGCACGCGCTCAGCATTCGCGCACACAGCTATGGCCGCCAGTGAATTTTCCGTGTACTCTCGTCCCCAGTCACCTAATAGGCGTATCCGGATGGGCGACGAAAAAACAATAAAACGTTTCAACCTGTAAACAATAAAAAATAGAGGGGAGGCAAAACGAGAATGTATGCTTATATCCCAATGCCTTCTATGGGCGTGGCGACGGCAAAACGATGTTTTCGCCCATATTGGAAGTGACGACAATTCAAGATGACGGCGCCCTTGGAAGCATGCGCGGCTAACAATAGTCCATGCTAAGGTGAGACGACGGTGCATATACACGATTGCAAGCTGGGCGACTGGCCGCCGCCATGTCTCTGCTCGAGCAGGCACGCCCGTGCGATTACGAGCTTGCCAAAGCAACGTTCACCCGCGCGTTGCACGCGCTTGCACGCATCGGGCACCACTTGTGGCGCCATGCTTGCAATTGTCTATATAATGTTGGGGCCAACGTTACTGGAGCAAGCTCAGTTTCGCAGCTCCCTATTCTCGCCTGCAGAAGCGAGTGGCCCAGGTGGCGGTCACGAGAACTAGCGGCGCTGCAGTCTGACCTTGCTTCCCAGTCTCGCGCGTTGTCTGCTACCACTGCGTTGAGAGCTCCCTTTCCTTTTTCTTTTCTTCCTTTTAGGGGCGAAGCTCCCCAGGGCTAGCCATGTCCCTATGTCCGTCCGTCGTAGGGTGCACGTGCTCCTGCTCGTGAGCTCACACGCTCGCGTGCTCACGAGCACGTGAGCTTGTGCTCCGTGCTCGTGTAAGGCAAAAAGAAAAAAAAAACAACCGCATCGCCACGTGCTGAATGATGTTGATTGGGGCGAAGCTCTGGTGGTGCTTGTCCGCGTAGACGGTGAGCCGCAGCATACCGACCCTTTCGTTCGTTTTCATCCATGTCAGAAAGAGAATGTGTGGTATAAAACGTGGTTATATAGACAATTGCAAGCATGGCGCCACCAGTGGTGCCCCATGCGTGCAAGCGCGTGCAACGCGCGGGTGAACGTAGCTTTCGCAAGCTCGTAATCGCACGGGCGTGCCTGCTCGAGCAGAGACATGGCGGCGGCCAGTCGCCCAGCTTGCAATCGTCTATACGCATTTGAGCATCTGACCGCAGCGTGACATGGATGAAAACGAACGAAAGGCTCGGCATGCTGCGGCTCAGCGTCTACGCAGACAAGCATCACCAGAGCTTCGCCCCAATAAACATCATTCACCACGTCGAGATGCGGTTTTTTTTTTTTTTTTTTTTTTTTTTTTTTTTTACTTTCATGTGTATAATAGCAAAAAAAAAAAAAAAGATGATGAAGATGAAGTGTAATACACCACAGAGATTAGAGTGAGCGCATTGTGAGTGTTCTTTCTTTGAGTGTTTGAAATTTATTTTTGTGTGCGTCTGTTTTTTTGCGCTGTGAAGTTTTAGTATGAATCAACAAATCGCCCAAGCTCAAGTATTGCTATTCAAACTTGGCAGACTAGACAATCCGGAAGCAAGACTCGACTGCAGCGCTGCTAGTTCTCGTGACCGCCACTGAGCCCACGTCGCAGGCGGAGCCAGCGGAGCTGTGAAACGGAGCTTGCTCCAGTACCGTTGGTTGGGACATAGCCTCCTCTATACTCGCTAAGCCTGACAGTTCGAAGACGGAGCCATGAAGTGCCCGGTCGCAGATTGGAGCGCGAGGATTTGGTAGCACAGAGCATTTTTCGGGGAACCTGGTCGTCAACGCACAGCGTCTGCAGCGGCAAGGACCCCTTGACATTAAAGGGATACTGAACCAAAGAATTTAGTGACCATAATAAGTGGCGCACGTTCTTACCACGAGCCAGCAGCCACCGGTGTGCGCGAGCACACCGGCAACTGCTTGTACATACAAATAAATAAAAATAAAAACCTTGGCTAGCATAAATACCCTCTCAGTGTCGCTTTAATGAAAATGACACGTGAAAGTAAAAATGACTCTCCTGTTTACGCAGAGCCGTTGCACGTACCCGTAGAAGACAAGACTGGCCAAAATTTGCAAAGAAATTACGAATCGGAGCGCTCTTTGCGAGGTGGGCTTCGTGTGCCAACGCACGTGCGATGCAGTGAAGCGAAAGTCTGGAGTAGGCGCGTCTGCGTTTTAGCTCCCATATCACTTCGCCGAAAAGTAAGAAGGGATTTAGCTGCCAGAGGAAGAGAATTCACGGGGATATAGAGTAAATCCACTCAAATCACACTGGAAAACCTCTCAAGAATAAAAATATGCGAGGAAGCAGCAAGATCCATAAAAAACCAAGCTTCCGAACAGCGCGTGGCGCCATCTAGGATACGTAAAACAAACCAATCTTTTCTTACTGCCGACCACGAGCGTTCTAAATTAAATTACTTAGTTTTTAACATATTATTTATATACGCAATAAAACTACTAAATAAACAAAAGTATATTACAGTAATAATAAATTTAATTTTAAAAAAGCAGTCCAAGAGTCCAAGCAACGAAGCAAAACCCAAGTTAACGTCCCAGGTTTTCCCGCTAGCCTCCCCACTTTTTCCGCCATGTCTACCAACTGACACATTTGCAAGGTTTGTGCGATCGCCTTCTGAAAAGAACAACAATCTCCACGCAAATTCAGAGGGGGGGAAAAAAAATATCGGTGTCCGCCAGAGTCTCTTGGACCGATGTTTCAAAGCGAGCTGTAAATTTCTAACCGGTACGTTATGTGGACTCTGACGTAACTGTTCGCGTTTTTCGTCCTCTCCATCCCCCTCCTTTCCCACGAAAAAAAAAAAAAAAAAAAATCTAGCCGGTCCCTTGAAAGATGCGAGACAGCATGTCTTTATCGTGGCAACCGCAAGAAGACGGACTTCGACAAATTCTTCAGCTCTTGAGGGAATCTCAATCTCCTGACACCGCTACGCAAAGATCGGTCCAGCAAGTATCCTTTTTTTTGCCGGTTCGCCGTCGGCGCGAACCGCTTGTCTCGTGCCCTCGGCGCCGCGTTTGGGGGCAAACATGAGTTAGGCTTAGCCGCCCTTACATTTTCCCCCTTGGCCACCGATCTATGGGAAAATTTAAAATCCCGAGCCGCTCCACGGTGTGGAATTTTTTAATAGAACTCCCCGCTCGCACAATACTCTATTTGAATGTTCTCTTGTGCAAATGGCCGTGTTTTAACGAAAATTGTGGCATCAAAACTGCGTTGCTGCGTGCTCGAGTAATCGAACCACGATCTCTTCACCGCGTTCCATCACCGCTACTTCGTTTATCCTCAAATCCGCCACCCAAACTGCCTCTTCTTTCTTTACAATACGGGCTGCAAAACGAACGTTCCCATGCGATCTCCGTTCCAAATGCGCCGTTTCGTGCGAAAATCTCGCTTCTTTTTGCTGAGTTGGTCTACCCCTCGCGTTACCGGCGTAGTTCGCCGGGCACGTTGTCTGAGCCAGCAGTTTCTGTTGGGCGACTTAACATTGACTTAGTTCTAAGGATATTATTTTGCTGGGTAAGGCGACGCGGACGATAGGATTTAACGGCTGCTTCATTCGCCACAACGTTTCAGCAGGAACTCTTGTTTTTAGTGCATTTGGAATCATCCTGAAAAGGGCTGGGCAATAAGCTCATGGACGGCGACTTATTATTTGTTATATGTCTCTTAGTATGCCTTTTGCATGTTGCAACAGATTACTGGATTACGACTACCACTGCTCTAACAGTGTTTGGTTCGGTTACTTGATTTTGTGACACCTAAGGTTATTAATAGTTTCCTTAGAAGTACCTGTTACATTTGCGTTTACATATCCAAATCACATACCTAATGCAACACGTTTTTATTGTTTCTGAGTTATCTCAACATCTGGCTCTGGGCTACAGATGTTGCTTATGCCCAGTAAAGAGACTATACAACTGTAATGTTTATGCAAGGCTTTATATCATATTTTATGCATACACAACAAAGAATGGCTGAAAACTATAAAATTGTTCTAACCCTAACTGTAGCAAAAAGGATTTAACTGGGCTTCTCTTGGACTCAATGCTTTTAATTTGATTAGTCCGAAAAGCACTCGAATTGCCCGTTTGATTTGGAAAAGGAATTTTAATAAAGCTGTTCCCAAACGCGTTGGAGAAATGCATGCCAAACAAGTCTAGCTGGCTCGTGTTGCAAGGTTTCTTTTTTCCTTGAATTTACTGTCGGTATTTCTGGGGATTCCATGAAAACTCGATCATTTTGATGCGTTACGATTAGTTCCTGGTTTGGACGTGTTAGGCTCGATGCGGAACAATGCATGTTGGTTCGCAAGTGTTTTTGTCGTTTTATCAGTGGAGGTTTCAAAAGAAAGGATTCGGAAGACGTAGGAAGCGACGTAGGCATGCCTAACGCAGCTGCTTCCTTTTAGCTTCCTTTATTGTTGTAGAATGAAAGGAGGTCAGGCCTAAATGCCATCGCGGCGTCAAAAGGTTAACGTGTTATCTGTGTCCAGTGTGTCCATACGAAATGTTTCGGAGTCAGTTCTGAACACTTGTTAAATCGCTCATTAAGTAACATACAGTGTGTAAAGTTATGGTGAGTAAAGCTATGATGAGCGCGTTGGTGATGATTAAATTATCAGAAAGAATTAACACAAAGACGGACGAAACGAGACATCTTTCAACTCACAACAACAAATATTTAATGAGAGGCTGGTGGCAAAAGGGCTTGAGGAGGAACAGGGAAGGAGGAGGCGGAGGAGGTGGGCAGGGGTGTGTTATCACCAAGAAACAATGTGTCCCCCACCAAAAAAAAAAAAAAGTTTTGTTTTTATGTTTTATTGCAAGAATACACTATGCATTGCTGAATGCTCGGTCTCCGCCTAAATGAAGTGCTAGTGGTCTGGACCAGATGCCAATGTATCAGAACCTGCCGTTATTAGAAAGTTGCAAGTGAATTTCCGAATCCTTCAATGTGAAAATGGGACCCGTTTCCTATAGCTGATGCCATTCATCACTGCATATTCGCAGGCTTCGTTGGCCACCATTTTCCCAATGAAAATTGAGAAAGTCTCTCAACTTTTGGATAACATAATGTCAAGCTCTGAAGCTTTGGCATCTGGTGTGCACCACTGGTGTGACACTTGGTTGGAGTGTGAGCGTTTTGCGATACATAGTTTATTAATGCAGTGAAGAAACTGCTGTGTATTTATTTCGGGGACACCCTGTAGTTTTGTTGAGTGGGGTAAAAGGCACAGGTTTGGATTGTTGTGGCTGCTCCGGTCCTTCGCTTCTGCGTGGACGTTAAAAGTGATGGTGCGTGAAAAGCATCTGCATTGTCCTTAGCGTCGTTGTGTTCAGAAACTTGAGGAGTTGAACAAGTACCCGGACTTCAACAACTACCTGATATTTGTTCTGACCAAGTTGAAAACAGAAGGTGAGTTTTTCGTCTCTTCTAATTTTTCCGATGACTCTGTCGGAGGTGTCTGTGTGTTTCTGTGGATCCGACTTCCACCCCTGATTTTTGATGGACAGGACCCAAGTTTCCTCGGGATGTCTGCTGACAGGAAAAAATTACAATTTTAGTTAGTCTGTGAAAGTTGCGAGAATGGGGGGTGGATTTGCGTTGGTAAAATCCCTGGGTGAGAGTCAAGTTTCTTGCATGCTTTTGTTTTCTTGTGTTTAGAAGACTCGACTTACTTATCAGTGCTTTTTGTAAAAGTGTGGTGCTTTAGCTATTACAGTTAAGTTACTTTTTAAATGTATAATTTGGAATATATTGACTTGATTTTAGTGTGTGATTTAATAGTTTAATTTAATTACAACTCATGCTCAAGTTTTTGAAATCTATTTGTAGTTATGGAGAAGGGAGGGTGCCATTGAACAAAACAGTTTGGAATTCCACCGCCAAATAAACAGCTAAAATACTTATGACCAATTGCCTTTTTTTGATACTCGCACCTCTTGTGTTGCCAGCAGTTCAGGCCGTAATGTCCCTAAAAAGTCCCCACTCCCAACCTTTATGTTGATATCTTTTTTGTTGTCTCAGATACATGCCTCTTGACAGTGATCTCTATGGGAGTTAAACTATCTGAAAATGCATAATAACCTAGAAGCTGGAACGATAGAGATGAGAGTACATCTTTGTATGGATATTGACATAATTTGTCTCCACAATTGTCGTTGAATTTTTGCTTTTAGCTCAGATTATACAAACTAATGTAAAATTTCTATTTTTTTTCCAAGAGAATTTCATAAAATTCCTCATCCATCATAAGTGCTAGCAAAACTTTTTCTGTTTACAAACACAAGCTGTTACAAACACAACAGAATTCCGGTCGCTCCGTTTCGGCAGGCCTTCCGAGCCCGTCGACATTAAATGTCGACGGGCTCGTCGACATACAATACCGCGCATCCGCCTCCCATTCCACATTAATCACCCTTCCAAAACTTGTGTAAGATCTGAGAAAATATCCACAGTGCATTGATATGTAAAAATGATGACCGGACAAGCGCCCATTCCCTATTTGTTTCGCGATTATCGTTAAGTTTTGAGTAAGCCCTTGCCCGGTATTTTACGGTAATAAAACAAATATCCAACAAATCTCTCGCTAACGGGAGCTAATGACTTAAAGAGCTGGTCATAAGATACTTCATAAATGTTGCGAGAAGTGGCGCTATGGCAGGTATAGTTTGTCCTCTCCTTTGACCGAAAGTTTGCAAAGCCGTAAATTGCCAACAACGCCTCCTTCCGGCGCTTTCTAAAAAAATAAAAGGGGTCTATAAGCACGCACCTCCTGGCTCGAACGAGTTTTGCTGACCCGACTGCAGTCGTGCGGAGCGCAGCACGCTTAAAGGGGACCTCCGGTCAATTCCGAAAATTCTGGGATTACAAGTGATTATCGTGTTTAAATTACTAATAAATAGTTCTATGTCATTAGTTTTCTGAAAAGTTAAATGGTTTTCTTGCAAACCTTGTTTAAATGAAAATTGAAAGCGAAACCGAAACCTTGCTTGCGGCAGGCAACATTGGTCCTGCTCGTCAACTGCTGGACATCATGTGGTACGGATATGTTGGCCAGGTCGTCAACGAAAGCGGTGGACGGCATGATGGCGTTGTTGACCCGGCACAGTCCTCGGGTGGCAGTTTCGCGCGTCTGTCTCTCTGCCCCGCGCTCTGTTTTTTTCTCTTGCCCTCGTGCTCCGCGCCTCGAAAAGTAAGAAACAAAACAATTCTTTCGGTTGTTGACGTTCCGCACGGTGGTGGCTGTGTCCACACGGCAGCGTTGACTGCGTCGCCTGCTAGATTGGGTGGATTTTGGCGACCGTGGAGCTGCTCCGACTTTGTTGGCCGGTTTAATAAAATTTTAGGCGGAATTATGTCATAATATTTTACTCGTTGGCTTTTTGGACGATACGACGTGGGACTGCGTTGTTTTCTGGACGTCGAAATTCGCCCAGAGGTGCCCTTCAAAGTTCTTGCATCTTCCACTTTGTTCACACCCAAGGCTGGTTCCCAGATTTGCATTTGAGCGTCGTGGACTGCGTTGCAACTGCTCAGGAGTTCTTGTGATGAGGGGATGATGCAGTGACACTGTCTGTTGGCTAGCTCTGGAACGCCTTAAATTGGCGTACAGCTAGACTGACGGGTTTAGAGTATTTTCTACACAAACGATGACGCGGTGCTCGCATTCAGTTTACGCCCCGTGTTCGTCCCTTTAGACAACTTAGAAAGTTGAGCCCTTCGGCTTCGTTATCCGGGAGGTGTCGGTTGGGAGCACCCTCGGAGAGAGAGAGGGGATAGGCCCGAATCCGACTGCAACCCTTGCGCGCAGATGAGCCGACCCGCTCCCTGAGTGGCCTGATCCTCAAGAACAATGTGAAGGCGCACTTTGAGAAGTTCCCCAAGGAGGTGGGAGACTTCATCAAGGCGGAATGCCTGGAAAGCGTCGGGGACAGCTCTCCCCTGATCCGGGCCACGGTGGGCATCCTCATCACCACCATTGCCTCCAAGGGGGAGCTCACCCAGTGGCCCGAGCTGCTGCCCCGCCTCTGCCAGCTCCTCGACTCGGAGGACTACAATGTCTGCGAGGTGAGGCCTCTTCCCCATTTCCTCCCTCCCTCGCTCGCGGAGCTGTCGGCACGGTGCCTCGAACCAAACCATCCAATTCTGTGGTTCTCGACTACCAGTGTTTTTTGCCGGCCCCTTCTGGATCGGCGAAAGTGTAAGGGCACCTGTTTTACCGGGGGCAAGTGGTTGTTACGGGCAATTATAATAAGAAAAAGAGTAAACGAAGAGAACCAATGGTATGCAAACTGACTTTTAAGCTCTGAAACCGAGAATAGTCGGCCCTACTCACTCGGTGCGTATGGTTTGGTTTCATATTACCTTTGTGGGACAGCTAGCATCAATAAAAAAAAAGTTTTATTGCTTGACTTGATTGACGGTCCGGGACTTCGCGGACCCAAGACGGCCTTCGGGACCCCAAATGGTTTGGAGACCCTCGTTTGAGAACCACTGACCTAGATGGAAAGCTGTAGTGCTTTCTATTTCCTTCATGAACATAGTGGCTAATATTGTGCGTCACTTACCGAGGGTCGGCTTGGGGCATGTGCTGCGGATGACTGCTACGTCAAGTGGAACTTGCGTTCAATCGGCCGGAACTCGAACCTTAGCTTAACGCTGACATAGCATTTGTGTCCACTCTGTCACCTGCCGCTGCCCTCAGTGCGTGAGATAGAAAATTCAGCACTTCGACTTCCTATCTAGATGGTGTTTACCGAATGCATTGCCGACGGCAGGCAGTATTTACTGCATACTCACAAATAGTACGACGGTTAAGGTCGCGCATTTTTTTTGCCGGAACTTCTACGTCCGACTGTCGAGATTGCGACGTCCAACGGCAGGACCAAAGTTGAAAGCTGGGCTAGTTGGTGTAGGCTAAACATAATGTAGGTAAAGCACCGCAGTACTACAGACTAGAAGGAATGAATAACCAAGACTGGACTGGCCTGTCCCATCTTGCTTGCTGTTCCGTGAACGCAAGTTCCGCGTTCCACGTGCTATACCGTGCCAGCTCTGCGACCCGCTCAAACTCGGATTCTGACGAGTTTCCTTTTTCGGGCCCAGGGTTCGTTTGGGGCTCTGCAGAAGATCTGCGAAGACTCCGCGGAGATGCTGGACACGGATGCGCTAAACCGTCCGCTGAACGTGCTGGTGCCCAAGTTCCTGCAGTTCTTCCGGCACAGCAGCGCCCGCATCCGGTCGCACGCCATCGCCTGCATCAACCAGTTCATCATCAACCGCACGCAGGCACTCATGGTGCACATCGACTCCTTCATCGAGGTGGGTACACAGCTTTCCGGCACTTGTCGCTCGAGGAAATAATGCCGACGTGGGATCCGATGTGTCACGGGAAAGAGTTTCTGCATACGTTCGGAATGCATTCTGCTAGACGGCGGTACGTGGAAGGTGATTATTGGAAAAGTCTATACATCACATTAACTTATCTGTAAAACGTTTTTGAGGCAAGGGTAGTTTACAAGGTGCTCCGAGAAAACATAGGTGAGAAAAAATAGAAACGAAGGAAGTCATCTCCTTTTTCTTGTTTTGTTGACAAGTCAGCTGAGCAGAAAAAGAAAGAAGGGGCAGAGCACCCAATTTCCCATCGGCGCAGTGGGGCTACACTGCTGCAGCACTGTGGAAACAATGTTGTGCAGAATTGCTTGTACAGTATACAGTGCAATCCACTTGTAATGATAGTGAAAAAAACCAGAGAATTGAATCGTTATAACCGATTTTTGTTGTATCTGGACTACAAACTTGAGCAGCACATCATTATGTGGTATCGTCATAGGTGGATTGCACTTAAGTATTTCGAAAGCTGTTCAGATACAGCGCTTATACATTTTTCGTAATGGAAGGGACACTCAATTGTAGCCCACACGTAGTAGACATTACGTCTCTTAAGTTAAGGGGGGACATGGGCCTAAATTTTAAATTTTTTTGAAAAAATGTATTTTTCAATTTTAAGGTTTTCAGTTTTATAAACTTATTATACACCCTTACACCGAATTTGATAACCATACGCCAAATAGTTCCGTTGATATAAAATATTTTCAACACATTGTGAGGCAGTAACAAAGTAAAGGAGTTCAATGTTCGAATGCATTTTTCTCAGTTCCACTTTTTGCTGCAAAATTCATACGAAGGAATCTTTTGTTCGAAGGTTAAAGTATTTTGATACCACAATCAAGATATTCCTGAACTGAAATTTACTGGGGAATCGGGCTATCTACTTTATTTTGTTTTAAGTTGAAGTCCTCAGTGATAAAAAACTAAGTTTTCAAAAATTGACATAGGACAGATATGCATCTCATAGTTTGAGGTAATAACTCTTCCTGAAATATGTACATTTAAGTTATTAAAACTAGATAGCCCGAGGTCCCATATCCCCCACTTTATATTCAAGCAGTCAAAGTGATGCTTATTAGCTTCATTTGCATATCATAGATTTCTTAATGAAAAGTGACACATCATCTTATGCAGGTATGTAAATTTGTCCTAGGGAGCTGAAAGTTTGCACAGTACACCTACATCTGAAGCTAAGTCTCCCCTGAAAATTTCATTTTGATCACTTGAGTAGTTCAAAAGTTTGACCTCTAGCCAGTGTCCCCCCTTAAACCGTAAAATACTGAGCATCCTCCCATTCTACAATAAGTGCCCATACCTAAATTTTTTAGCATTCTTGAAATACACAAAGGACACATCATTACATATTGTTGACTTGAGGATCGACCATCCCCCAGTTGTACATGATTATCTCCAAAATTTGAGTGGGTGCTTGCTTGGAATTTTATGGTAATGATTTCCATAAAAGTGGTGCTAAATTTGGTTTATTATAGTTTAATAAGGCACTGACAGCCCAAAGGTCATATTTTTTGTTGTTTTCTAAAACCATGCAAGTTGTAGGCACAGGCACGCAAAAAATACCACAATGGAAAAAAGCATTTCCCCCGCACGCATGTGCCTTTTTATTTGTGGCGCTTTTCTTTCCCACTTCTCACCTCCTCGCTTCTTTTTATTTGTGACGAAATTCATTATGAAATTTAGAAGCTTTGTAAGCGACATTTCTATAATATTTAATAATAGCTTTCGTGAAACTTTTTTTTTTTTTTTTGAAATATTGAAAATCACAGTTCGGAGTGATGTTGCCTCCTGGCTTTGTATCCTCCCTTATAAGCTTGGCGGCGCTCGACACATGTAACACTAAGGATGATCGGCAAGTCGGCGAATAGGACGTATTCCTCTTTAGGTTCCCCACAACCTCTCAGACTTCAAAAAGGAAATTCTCAAACGGTTAAAACAACTGGGTTTGGTGTCTGCACCATAGTTTCAATTGTGAATCAGCCGGGCCAGCCTTTCACGCAGAACCGGCGCGTCGTGGCCTCTCACGTCGCTCGCAAAAGCACACTGTTCATTCTCTTCGACCTTGCACCATTTCAAGGAATTTGAGGTTGCTGAAAGAGCCCCAAAAGAACTTCGAACTTGAAAGAGAAGCGTCGTCTGCTCGCTGCGATAGGCAGCCCGCATGGAGGAGAGCGGCCGGTCGCAGGACGCGGGGGAACTAGACACTTCGGGACTGTTTGGAGGTGCGAGAGAAACTCGACTTGGCATGATGACTCAATCTTTGACGTCGCTGCACTGGCGCGTATCATGCGGGAACTTTAAACTTTGCTTTGGGAAATCGTTTTTTTCACTTCACAAATACTTCCGTCGTTTTCAATTGTTTCAAATAAGAAAAAAAAATTGGACCTGTCAGTACTTTTAAATATAAGACGATCGACAATAGCAAAGCTTTGCACGTGTGCATAGGAGGCCTGGTGAAATCTGTCTATTATGGACAAAGGCAGTGATGCCGATTTCACTGCCAGTTTTCGTGCTATGCAAATTGTCGTCTCCGCGACCTTTGGGCACCTGCCTTAGATTGCATACTTTGATTTGTGTGCAAACTTTTCTTACCGATTTAGTGGAGTTTTCTTTTGCCGAACCGATGGTTGAGTGCGGAGATTTCGAGCGTGGCCTCACCCCCGGCGGATGTTGTTTGCAGAACCTGTTCCATCTGGCGTCGGATGAGGACTCGGAGGTTCGCAAGAATGTGTGCCGTGCTCTAGTCATGTTATTGGAGGTCCGCATGGATCGGCTCATCCCCCACATCCACAACATCATCGAGGTGGGTCTCTCTTTCTTTTTACAGCGATAGCTGTTATGGACTCTTTCCGTCGCTGAAAATGACGTCCGTTGTGGATGTTGTAGTTGCTGATGCTGTTGTAGTGTTGGTTGTTGATGCTGTAATTGTCATAGTAGGATGCCCGTCGTTGACGTTGCCAAATCCTCGATGAAGCTCGCCTCCCACCCATGGAAATCAAACCTGGGTCTGCTTCATGCTAAACAGAAGCGTTGCCACAGAGCTACGTCACAGCCTTAACAACCCACTTTATACTTAGGGGTTCTGAAGTAGTACCAACGTTACTAAAACACTCAGTTGGGAAACTCGCCGTCGAAACCTGGGCCGCTGGCGTCCACCGAGACCGAGCTAAATGCGACAACAGCGCCACTCTTTGTCGTTTGTCTGTACTGTGGTCACCTCGAGCTTTTTGAAAGCCTGTTTTTGCGTAAAAACAAACGGAAAAGACTCTTTTTGTATGAAATTTATTGGAGTTTAGTACCAAATGATGGGTGCGTGACGTTTTTATCATCTTTAGTTTGCAAGGTTTTGCGGAACAATTAATATTGTTTTTATACAACCATGCCTCAGCGGTCCTTTTAGGCAGCGCGTCCCGACCTAGGTGCATTTTAACTTCGGTACTAGAACGCGGCGCGTCCGCCGGGGAGACGGGGGTGGCACCCCTGTAAACTCTGCCGCTGTATCTGTTCTTAAAGCCAAAATAGTAGTCACGTGCAGTTCCTCGAGTGGCCGCTGCGGGAGAAATGTTGGCGTTGTGTTCGTCATTAGCTCGGTGCTCGGAGACAGATTGGGGCCATTTTTTTAAAGCTGTCTCTATGGGAGTTTCCCAACTGAGTGTTTTAGTAACGTTGAGTAGTACCCAATGGCTCACTGCATCACTCTATACAAAGATGAAAAACCAGAATAGCAGAAAACATAATGCTGTGGGGTAGCACTGTCAATGCCAAGAGCTTGTGCCCGGAAATGCGCTTTTACACGCTCCGGTGCAAAAAGAAACAAAAGCGTTCGGAACGAAGTGGCTACAAAAGAAAAAAGTTTTTTTCCGAACGCTTTTGTTGGCGCACCCCCTGGTGCAAGTAACACGACGCCGACGCCCAACAGCTTCGTGGTGATGTGTCGCAGCTATCGGTGTGACTGTACCGTGGGTTAACGCGGGACTGCTTGATTTTTTTTTTCTTTTTCTCGCTTCATCGTCCAACTCTTTTTGGATTGCAAGACCGTAGTGCTGGTTTTTCTACGTCGCCTACTGGAAGCCAGTGCGGAATACACATAAAATACCAAGTGCTGCGTGAGCGTTTGGCTGGTAATCATGTCTTCACCGAATGAACACGAGTCAACCACGATGGAGCACCAAAAACCTCTTGACCTCTTTTGTGACGAGTGAAGACACTGGCACCATTCTGGGGTAGCTGTGGAACACTCGCAGTTTGCGTACGTTTTCTATTTTTCTTTGGCTCTTGTTTCTTTTTTTTTTTTTGGCTCGAAAACTTTGGTCAATGTTATAAACAACTATTTCTCCTAGACAGTGCGTACATTTGAGCTTGCATATATCGCAAAACCTTTAGTGAAGTACAGTTTCAGGGTCGCCTCATCAACGGCGCCAACGTGTTCTCGTCGTAAGAGAAAACGAGAGCTCGGTCCTAAGCAAATGCAAGTGCATCGACGGGTGTGAAGCAAGAGCATCCTTTAAAGTAGTCGAGTTGCAAATGGCGTTAGTTTGGCGGTACACTATCGCGAAGGCATGGGCACGACGAAGATGTTTTGTGGTGAAATCAAGCCTGCTACAGAGGGGTTTGTGCGTGCACACAGTACATGCTGATGCGCACCCAAGATGGGGACGAGGGGGTGTCCCTGGAGGCGTGCGAGTTCTGGCTGTCCCTGGCGGAGCAGCCCATCTGTCGGGAGGTGCTGGCCCCACACCTGGCCCGCCTGGTGCCCATCCTGGTCCGGGGCATGAAGTACTCCGAGATCGACGTCATCCTGCTCAAGGTGCCCCCCTCTTCTTTGGTTCTTTGGCGGCGGGGGAAGCGAGGCTCAGGGATGGCCTGGTGGTGCTCTCGCTGCGTTGCTGAGTCAGACGAATTCGAAAGTCCTCTAAGTATAATTAGTGGAGTGCACTATAGGACTTTGCACCTCTAGCTCATGAAATGCCCTATTTACTTGCCTGTAAACTATTTTTTGTGGCTGTAATCTAGGGTGTTGTTAGGCGACAGAACTCTAGAAGTACGACCGGAAATGTAAACCCATGCTCGTGCCATTTTTATTTTCTTATTTCTTTTATTTTAGAATTGTTTTGCTGGCATTTGTCGGGGCCACTTTTGCCACTCGAGAGCCAGCTTGTCAAGTGCAGGCTTCTCCTCGAATAAGAATCGACAAGCATAAAAATAGAGTACTAGCTGACGCTCCTCTGTCTCCGACTGCTCCAGCTGTTGCCCTCTATCACGATGCGAAAGAACTCGAGCGAGCTAGAACGTGCAGCCTCTGTGCTCCGTGTATTAGGGCAATAGAACTCGGAAGCGCTTGACGTGAAACGGCCCTAGCACAAGGTTGTCTCCGGGTTTAGTGACGGGGCCTAAGATTATTAGAGCCAAACCTTGCGACCTGTACCAGAACTTTTGATCTCAATGTTCTGCTCGCAGCATAAATTACTCATTAGGCAAACTGCAACATTCATACATTTACTACACACTCTTTGATACGCATGTGCGAAAACCCTTTTAACGTGCCATATATTGACATTGTTATTCTGCAACACTTCTCCTATTTCCACGCATTACTGCCGTGCTTCCCGTTGCTTGTCATGTCTTTTAGCTATATACCTTTGCCTACCACTTAGCTGCACAGTTCTTTTCGGTTTTAAAAACTACTACTGCTCTTTGTAGTGTAGTAATAATATACCTAACAATTTAGTTCCAAGATTGAAAAAAACAAAACATATCTGAATGCTTTAGTGGTTGCATGATGACATTTTTGAAACCCCTGAGCTCTGTGATGCTCCGAGTAATCGTACTGTCTGACGACCGGCTGCATTATTTTTGGGACATGGAACAGTCGCGAGTGACGTAACGACCGCGAGCTTTTATGTCTTGCTTTTCCACCCGCGACATGTGCAGGGTGATGTGGAAGAGGATGAAATGATCCCCGACCGGGAGGAAGACATACGACCCAGGTTCCACAAGTCCAAGACGCACAGCCAGAAGCACATGGACGACAACATTGACGTACGTTCACGTGAACGACGGCATGCAAAAGCAAAGAAAACGCACCACAGACTGCGTCAACTATTTTGCGCTAAGTCGCCAAGGCTACGGTTGCTTCCGTAGTGCTCCTTTGCATGAGAGCGGGTGCACATCAGAGTTAAGACGAAGCCAGCAGCACTGTGGATGCTGCACTATTCTCGACAATGTAGCACAAAATAGTTGACGCCGAGTACAGGCAGAAGGATTTGCAGTTGTGTTTCTATTTATTGATCCAACCGTCGTATGCATAATTAAGTTTTTATGAGAAATGTGGCAGACGTCAATACCTGTTGTAGCCTTCGAGGCACGTGATACCTCAGTGCTGCCCCATCCTGTACCCCCCCCCCCCCCCCCTTTTTTTTTTCTGTTTGGTTTTTGGAGTTTTCACAGCTGGTGAAGCCTCCTCAAAGGGGGAGTCCTCCCCCTTTTCTCTTTTGTTTTCCTTTCTTTCTCTTCTTTTTCTTTTTTTTAATATTTGCATTTGTGGCAAGCTTAGCTTAGGCATAGGTCTTCAGCAGCCGACCAACTAGGCCAACTCTCTTCGACTGCGGTACACTTCACTTTTTGTGGCTCAGCCAGTTGGCTTCAGTAAGAATGCAATAAGGCATTAAAAATTGGCGGTTCATTGCTGTGTCCCGACAGTGAACTGCGTCAAAGGCTGACGCACCGCTCACTGCAGCACACAAATTACACCTGCCATGTTTAAATTTAGTGGATGGCGTCGGTGTGACACTGATGTCGCAGTTCTCGCCAAACCCGCCAAGTTCAGCGAACTGTGACCTATGTGGGAACGCACCTCAGGATCCACTGCGAACCCTCGCAAATAACGGCGCTTTCCACAAAAAATTGGCTTGCTCGCTTTTTTTCTTTTTATCTCGGTCAGTCTTACGGTAATTGCTTTCATTTTAGTAAACTGACGCACGTGCCAGTAAATGACGGCGTATACTTCTTGCCTGTGTCTGTAGTGAACTTTCACACTGAGCGAAGAGAGGTCTTGTGATTTGTGGTACGAAAACATTTGGACTCGCAGAAGGCTAACGTCGAGATCTTCTCGTTTTCTCTAGGAGGATTCAGTCTCGGACGACGGCTTGGACGACGACAACACGCTCTCAGACTGGAACTTGAGTAAGTAATTTCCTTCCGATTCCCGTCGCATAATGCGTTACGGCTTGAAGACACTTACTTCCTCGTTAGCCGAGTTAATATTTCATTTGGCCCATGTTTCTTCTTGGGTTGCGGTGTGTCTGCGGATGGGTGATGACAACTTTGACCCTCTGAGCCTCGTGATGCTCATTGAGTAATCGTACTGTCTGACTGCCGACTCCACTGCAACCCAAGTCTTGCGTGAAACCCTCTATGCAACCTACCGACAGTATGAGAACGGCATCCCCCACCAATCGTAGTAGGAGGCACACCGCCTGGCAAGGGCCGAGGGCGTGCGCGTGAAACAAAGTTTTTTGCGCGGCACAATGTCGGAAGTTTCAAATGCAGCTGGGGAGTCCCCACCGGCGTGGAGATCTAACTACGGGAATGCTTCGTTTGGCTTATTTTCCGCGGAACTCGGTGTTTCCCCTACACGAGGTTTGCAAACGGACTCTTTTACTTCGTCTTCCGCGATCCAGATGCAGATTGGGCACGAGTGATGCGTCAGCGTTTGACTGGGACTAGTGCTGAATTGGTGCTTCACTGTAGCACTTAACCGTCATGCGCGTATCGGCTAAGAGCTACTTAATGCACTTAGGTTTGCTTACGACCGTGTTCTGCAATCTCTCACGACGAGAAAGCATGCTGGCGGCATGTTACAAGATGGCCCTGGAACGGCATTTCTCTGGAGCGAAGGTTTTGCGTTATCTGCGATATTAAATGTGCATACTGTCTACTAGAAATGGTTATTTATAACGTCAAAAGTTTTTCGAGCCCAGAAAGAGAGAATGATGTGCAAAAAAAGTAGAAAATATACAGAAATGCGAACATTCGGTCATAAGCAGTCACAAGTGTGTGAAGTAGCGTTTAGCCGATGCGCGCGCAACGGTTGGATCCCCTTGCCAATGTCGGCCGTCGCCGTAAAAGGACGCTTGTTGCCTGCGGTGCAGGGAAGTGTTCGGCGGCGGCGCTGGACGTGCTGGCGAACGTGTTTCACGAGGAGCTGCTGGGCGTGCTGCTTCCCATCCTGAAGGAGACCCTCTTCCATCAGGACTGGGAGATCAAGGAGTCCGCCATCCTGGCGCTGGGCGCCATCGCCGAGGGTGAGGTGTTTTGACTTTCGCAAGGTGGAGACATGCGTCCCAGCCAGAGGTTGGCATTTTAGGTCGCCCTCACTCACCCTCACCCTCACAGCCACACTTACCTAAGCCCCTCACTCACCCTCACCCTCACAGCTACACTCACCTTCAGCCCCTCCCTCACCCTCACAGTCACACTCACCTTCAGCCCTTCACTCACCCTCACTGAACCTCACGGCCCTCACGCACTCACCGCCCTCACGGCCCTCACGCCCCTCACGCCCCTCACGCCCCTCACGGCCCCCATGGCCCTCACCGCCCCCACGGCCCTCACGCCCCTCACTCACTCATGGCCCTCACGCCACTCACCGCCCTCACGGCCCTCACCGCCCTCACGGCCCTCACCGCCCTCACCGCCCTCACCGCCCTCACCGCCCTCACCGCCCTCACGGCCCTCACGGCCCTCACGCCACTCACCGCCCTCACGCCACTCACCGCCCTCACGCCACTCACCGCCCTCACGCGCCCCACCGCCCTTGCGGCCCTCACACCCCTCACGCCCCTCACGCACTGATGGCCCTCACGCCACTCAGGCCAGCTTCAGATGGGGCAATTTCGCCCAGAAACTTTACGTCGCAACACCAGCAACACAGGCCGCCCGCGATCACACGCAGCAACGAATTGCTGCAATTTGCAATCGTCATCATAAAATTTTATTTTTCTTGCAATATTTAGACACAATTACGCGTTATAAACGTGTTTTTATGCATTTAAATCTCGTTAAGAATAATAATGCACCTGTCTGAAATAGTTTATTTCCAAAAAAACGATCGATTTCAAACCAGAACCAAGTCTTTCGGTGTCATCATCACCGGCACGAGGTATCACGTGAAAATTTTGCGTCCCTGATTGGATGCAGCCGCTTCAAACGCATTCGAATTGCTCCGAGTTGCATGGCCCTCACCGCCCTCACCGCCCTCACCGCCCTCACCGCCCTCACCGCCCTCACCGCCCTCACCGCCCTCACCGCCCTCACCGCCCTCACCGCCCTCACCGCCCTCACCGCCCTCACCGCCCTCACGGCCCTCACTCACCCTCACGGCCCTCACTCACCCTCACCTCACCTGTGAAGATGAGGGTGAGTGAGGGTGAGTGAGGGCCCTCATGAGTGAGGTTTGCCGAGGTATGGTCCCAGCGAGCTTTGTCGAGGTTCGGCATTTCTGTTTGTGTGCGTTACCTTGCTGGCTGACCTCTGGACCTCCATGCTAACGGGAAACTAGTTTAACCCCCCCAAACTGTCTAGGGCGAGTCGACGTAGAGCCGTCCCCAAACCGTTCAGGACGTGTACAGCTCGTCTGCTTTCCCCGGTTCACGCACTCTACTGTTTTGGATGAACCGGACTTTCTCGTGGCTTAGTTTGTGGCTCTGCCAACAGATGGCAGCACTGGCTTTTTAAAAAAAACTTTGTGCCATTTCGTTTGCAGTTGTAAATTTGATTTTGAAGGCAACAAATTTGATTTTGAAGACCACAATTAAGCGGATGACGGTCAGGTATTCCCGTTGAACTAAAGACGGTTAAAGGGGTTAGTCTAAATTTAAAAAAAAAAGGTACATGAATATTTAAGATATGAAATATTGAATATTAAAATAGTTATTTTGAATAAACTTCGAAAAAAAGTGAAAATTTCAAATACTATATATTTAAATATTTTTAATACAAATTGGCTTCGAAAATAGTCAAAAGTTTGAATACTAGATATTCAAATAAGTACTTTCAAATGGACTGAAATTATTCAAAATTTTGGATGCTAAATATTCAGATATTGAATCGGAACCGAATTAAAAATTGGTATGGTATTCACAATATTGAGTAGGCAATCTTTCCGTCGAATGCTTGCATGTGACGTCATTCGTGGCCGTGTTGGTATCTTATGCACCGCGAGCATTTGCTTTGCCATGTTAGTTTCACACTGCGTAAGTTGTAGTTCAAAGAAACCAGGAAGTGTAAACAGCCATCTGTACCCAGCAATGGCGACGCTTGGAAGCTATGTATATGAATAAAACTTTTTACAGCAGAGCTGTTAAGGGCTAGTTTTCCTAGGATTGTGTCCGGTACCAAACAAATGTCGACACCCGTGGTCGACGCAACACTCTGGCTTCCGCCGTCGCTCATAGATGGCGGTAGCTGTCCAGAGTGTTGTGTTTGCCGGTTGTCTGCTTGCCGCTGTCGCTCTTAGGTCGTGGCAACCTTTCCGGCCTCGGCATCCAGACAACTGGTTGCTGCCATCGCTCATAGAAGGCGGCAACATTTCTTCGGAAAAAGAAGAGCGGGAACGGAACAAGCGGCGATGTGAGCAGCAGTGCGAATGGTTCCGGAAACGCCGCGAGGCCGCTATCGCCGAAAGTTCCAATGCTTCGGGCACTTCAGATTCTCTTGCGAAAGAAGAGCAGATCGCTCGCCTGGAAAGCAGTCGCCGGGAACAGAAGTTACAGCTCCGCTGCTCTTCCTTCTTTACCAAAGTGAAAAAGCTGAAAGCTTTTTAGTTACCTAATTTAAATATATGTGAACAGATATCTAAAATTGAATGTAAAAATAATTTACTGTAAGATATTGCATTAGGGCCCACTTCGTTCAACTGACCACTTTTAAAATTTCCCAAACTCGGGAATTCTGCAAAGTGTGGGGGGATGTGGCCTTCAAATTAAAATTTTTCAGAAAAAAAAAAAAAAAAAAACCTTTTTAAAAATATGTTTATTAATTTTTAAAGAATGGTTTCAGAAACTTTCATTTATAAACATGCAGGATTTATCTCACAATAAATTACTTTCAACATGTCGGCAGCCCTCTGAGTCAGCAGGTAGCAAGTTTTTTTGCTCGTTTTATTTAGCGCTACACTGCTTCATACTAGTTTTAACATTGCCAGCACATCTCGCCCTCATTGGAAGTGCCGTTCGCTTTAGATTTAGCCCATAGAAGCTTTCCAAGTTTAAAAGTATCAATGGCCAGGAGAGCCTTATATACACCTAAACAGTTTTGCTGTCAACATCAGCGGACACATTTTTTCCCAGATTCTAGCGCATAACAACTTTGCTGGTCCTCCTTCTTCACGTGAAGTGGAACGGCTTTACAATTTTTTTGGATACATCTCAAGAAAGGGGCATGTCACAATGTCTTTCCACAGTTTTAATCAAAATAAAGACCGCACACAGTTGCAATTTTGAGATTTTCGGACACTTTTGAGGCACATAGGTGGAGTTGTCATCATGAAAGACAAATTTAAGATTAACTTTAGTGCCGTTCAAGGATTCCCAGATTGTCCAGATTAATTTGAGAGTTTACAACGGAGCTGTTAAGGGCTAGTTTCCCCAGGATCGTGTCCGTCCTCAAATGGCCTGATGACACAGAACTCTGGACACCTACTGCCATCTATGAGCAACGGCAGCAGCCAGACAATTAGCGTGCCGGTTGTCTGGTTGCCGCTGTCGCCCATAGATGGCGGCAACCTTTCGAGCCTTTCCACTCTGGCTTGCTAACTTGCGGCCGGCCATTACTTCGTTCCCACCATAGTACAGCTTTGCTTGTTTACCTTCTTCACCAGAATGGAAAGGCTGAAAGTTTTTTTTCCGAGGTATGCTGGACGCCGTTCGTTGAAGGGGGTTTTCGCGCGCAACTTCTGCCGGCACGCTCCCAGTCTTCTTCGACGGACACGCGTGTCCGCGTGTTGTCGATGACACGGGCGGTCCCCGCCGACGTTGCAGGCTGCATGGGCGGCATGGTGCCCCACCTCCCTGAGCTGATCCCTTACCTGATTGGCTGCCTGGGGGACAAGAAGGCCCTGGTGCGGTCGATTACGTGCTGGACGCTGAGCCGCTACTCCCACTGGGTGGTGGGGCAGCCCCACGACTGCTACCTGCAGCCCCTCATGACCGAGGCAGGTGGCGTCTCTCTACACTAAACTTGGGTCGGCGTTCGCTCCAGGTCGTCTCGCATTTCGACGTGCTTGGGATTGCATAGAGCCCGCAGGTCTTTGGTCAATATCATCTAGAAAGCAATGTTTGCATCTTGACTCCCCTTAAACATTGTCACTAGTAAATCCATGCAGCGCTGCCTACTTTGCATCAGCATTGTTGACAGCGGGTCTCGCAACGAGAGCTACGTTAGCATGCCGCAGTGCCAAAGCGGCTCCCATTGAGCTTCAGTGAGTTTGCTGCATTAGGGCGGCTTGGTGATCCAATAATGATGACGTAATGTGCAGGCGTTATCTTTATGGCGGCATTACCTTGGCACCTAGAAAAAATTGTTTCGAGACACCTTAAGTAATGTTTTGCCGCGATGCAGAGAAAAAAAAGTGAGACAACAATAAAAATACTTTTGTACGCACATGTTATCCACTTTTACTCGTTACTTAGGTGTTTGTTTCTTCCTCTTTTCCTCTGGTACCCTCCTACAGAAACACTTTGCGACTGTAGTCTGTGTACTGTAGAAACACTTAAAAGAGGAAAGGCTCTTCCCGTAACGTCTGTCAAACGAGGTCTCTGTTGCTGTTCCAATTTCTCTTGGCCCTTTGGAAGATACTCGGACAGCTTTAGTCCTCGCAGCTGCGTGTTTAACTTTTAGAGTGTAACGTGTTTAGGTGTTTTGGCGGTCGTAAAGATGATTTCTTACGAGCGCCAAAACTAGGCTCATCCAAAGCGGTTAAGGGGTGACCGACGCTTTGGGCGCTGTCGGCGTGGCTTCCCCTCTCCAATCCTGACATGGCGTGCGTGTGCCTGCACGTGTGCAGCTGCTGAAGCGTGTCCTGGACGCCAACAAGAGGGTGCAGGAGGCGGCCTGCAGCGCCTTTGCCACCCTGGAGGAAGAGGCCTGCACCGAGCTGGTGCCCTACCTCAGCTTCATCCTCGAGACTCTTGTCTTTGCCTTCAGCAAGTACCAGGTTGGTCTGCCGTTTCCCCATGTTGGTCCATCCGATCCAACGCGGGAACACACCTCCTTTGAGGAAAGCATACGAAAGCTTGTGGCGCGTCCTGGTATTTTCCCAAATACGTGCGGTGATAACATGGAAAAGTGGTTACAGTTTCTTAATTTTCTTCACTTTTTTGTTCATTTTTTTTTTGTTCATTAATTTTCTGTCTACTAAAAGCTTTTTGTCAATATTTTTTTTTTAGCCAATTTATTGGAAGCTGGAAAAAAAAAAAAAAAAGCTTTTGTATATATTATAGATCACAGTATTCTGATAACACCTTTTTCAAATTCTAGATTTAGTATAGATCACAGTATTCTGATAACATCTTTTTCAAATTTTAGATTTAGTAAAAGGATGCTTAGGTATTGTGAAAAGACTTATGTGGACTGCTGCCAGGGTTCTCCCCACGGCGGGCGGCAGTGGCTTTGCCGCCTACCGCTCGATTATGCCACAGAATGACGATGCAGTTTTGACTGCGGACTTGGCTGCAGACCGTCGAACTCAATAGGCAAAGATAAAGCAAGCCACACTGCGAGCAAGCATTGAACAGTCAAAGAAAAGTCCTTTCGGTTCTGCTCTCTGCTGCTCGTCTGTGCTCACTGCCCAGAGAGAGGACTACTGTGCGGTGCGCGTTTGTCGCCTGGTTATTTTGTGTTCCTACTCGGCCGAGCACCTATATCGCCCTCCTGGCGGCACTCTGCTCTCCTTGTTTCAAAAACTGATGCAAGTGGCGGCAGTCAACGATGCGATAACACACTATAATGTGGTGCACGGGCCTGCCGAGTACGACGGTCTGCAGCCAAGCGCGCAGGCAAAATCGCATCGCCACCCTGCGGCATGATTGAGCAGTGGGCGGTCAGTCGGGACTATTGGCGGTCGGTCAGAGTGGTGGGCGGCAGTGGTTTTGCCGCCCACCGTAGGGAGAACCCTGTCTAAATTTAAAATGTCATTGACGTCCATAACCAAAAGACGAAAGCTTGGTTTTTATTCGAGTCAAAAATTTCAGTTTTATTAAAACTTATAGAACTTGGACGAAACATTGATTTGCGTGCTCGAAATTATCCTATTGTAACATTTCATTAGAATGTACCATTCGGTCTACCTTTGGTTTCATGCGGCCATTCACAGCACCTCTTGCGGCTCTCCACCGAAAGGCATGAAGGAAAAATAAGTGCGCGCTTACGTTCCAAAAGTTACCTTTTGTCACTCTAAAATAGGCTTTTGACCACTCCAAAGGGTGCTCCGAAATTACTCTGACCAATTGTATCACCGCTGACCTTTTTTCTTTTTCCCCACGTTTTATTTCAGCATAAAAACCTGCTCATTCTGTACGACGCCATCGGCACCTTGGCAGACTCGGTGGGTCACCACCTAAACAAACCTGTGAGTCCCTATCGTTTCAGTCTTCTTACAGCAATAGCCATTACGGGCTTTTCCCGCCACTAGAAACAACCTTCGTCGTTAATGTCGTGGTCGGCGTGGTAGGGTGGTGTCCTTCATCGACATTGCCAAATCCTCGAAGAAGATTGTCCTCCGCCCGCGGAAATCGAACCTGGGTCCGCTGCTTGCGAAGTGGAGGCATTGCCACGCAGCTGTGCCTCTGCGTCGACAACCCACTTAGTGTTTTTGTACTACCCGACGCCCATTGCACGCTCACTCTGGAAAAATACAAAGAAATGGCCAATAATAAAATGCCGTTGTAGCACTGTCAGTGCCAGGAGCTCGTGCCGGGAGATGCGCTCTCACGCGCTCTGGAACAAAATGGTGATATGTGAATGTCTCAAACGAGGTCTCTGTTGCTGTTTATATTTCTCTTGGTCCTCTGGAAGTTACTTGGACAGCTTTAGTCCTCGCAGCTACGTGTTTGTAACTTTTAGAAACTTTTAGTCTTGTTTGTTTTCTCTCTCAGTACTTCGGGCGTGTGGAAGAGAGGTGGATCGGCTTCGCCTTCACGCTGAGGTGGAAAGAGTAAATTACCATCTTGTTGAGCGAATGACCATTCCGTGATGTCTTCGACTTTGCGTGCAAAATTTCGAATAACTCTGTCGCTGTCAGTGCTCAAAAAAAAAAATTTTTTTTTGCATAAAATTCATTTTTTGACATGCGTGTCCCAAGCGAACTGTCTAGAAAAATAGTTTTTTTCTTTTTCGGAGGCCTTTTAAAGGGGCCCTGCAATGACTTTTTGACTGGTTTTTAATTTGCACTGAACCTGAGCGTACAGAACGTAGTAACATAATAAAAATTTTCTTTTCTCAAATTTCGCTTTATTTTAAAAGTTATAGGCAAATTAGAATTACAAAAACAAGCAAAAAATAACCTCCTTCATGACGTCGTAGGTCCTGGCTTGAGTGGCCGTGAACTAGAGGAGGAATAGTGAGCCCATCGAGCGCTCACGGCTGCCGCACTCCGTGTCGACGGCTCAAGAGGGCGCCACTAAAGCACGTGTTGGACAGGCTGTATGAAGCGGGCAGCCAGGGCAGCTTGCATTGCATTTGCTGCGCGACTAAACACTAATTCGGCGTAACACTTCATTGACCACAAACGACGGCAAACACGGGGTAAAGATCAGTTCAGAACGGGAGCCACTTCGCGCTGACGCACCGACAAATGGCCAAATCGCCAGCAGGGCCCGCGCCGAAGACCTTCGGAACGCTCGGAACCGGTCGGATTCTCGAGCCGGTATACGACCGCAGCGCCGCCGCGTACATCAGGGACCTTTCTACGCTCCTCGTTCGTCGTAGCCTTATCCCACTAGTTCTTTCTTGCATGCGCCGTTTTTTCCGCCGCTTGGTGGCGGGTATGTCGACGGGTCATTTCTTGTTTCTGTACTTTCTAAACTGCATTTGTTTCTCTTCTGATCTAAAATAGTGAACAAAAACTACTTTCATACGTAATTGAAACGGTTCGCGACACTTATATTATGTATCTCGACTAAAAAAAAAGCTTTTAGCGGCTTTGACCAGTGGCAAGCCAAGGACCAAAGACGTCACATTTTGCGCGCTTTCGGTACCGCGGGTCGCCCTCGTCGGTGGAGGAGGTTTCCGCGTCGTCCGGTTAAAATATGACGCACTGATATTTAGTTACTCTCTCCGTGCCCGCTGACTTACCCGAACCCCAAGAGACTTGGAAACCGCAAAAAAGGTAGACGCTAAAATATGATTGCAGGGCTTCTTTAACGGGTGAAAAGTGGTTGGGTCGAGCGACTTACCGTTAAACCTGATGTATGCAATAAATATGAGTCAGTCAGCTGAACGTTGATGCAGTACTTGTGTCCGGGCTGCCTTCTGCTGGCCTCGGGTGGTGGGCTGAGATTTAGCTTAACCATAGTTGAGAAATCAATTACCGATTCAGGGTGTCTACCAACCTGTAAAACATAAACTAAAATTGTCAGGAAATTTCGAGGCATCTGGAAAGTCTGGGGATCGTTGGGGAAATTGTATGAAAATCAGTCAAGTTGGGGAAGGCAATCGACATGGGCGGTGCGGGAGGGCATGGCGTGTGGCAGTTGTGCGAGGTACGGATAATTGCTTGTCAGTGTAAGCCGCCACCCGTCTCGTTGGATTGAATGGGAACAGCCCAAACAATGGCTACGACCCCATCCTCTGCATCTTTTCCTTTTGTGATGGTCGGGGAATTTGACTGAAGCTATCTGGTAGATACCTTGCGATTGCAACCTCATCACCTGTTCCGTGCCTTCATTGCGAATGACATCCGACATCTTTCTCCGCAACAGGACTACATCAACCTCTTGATGCCACCTTTAATCGAGAAGTGGAACGTCTTAAAAGACGACGACAAGGACCTCTTCCCTCTACTAGAGGTGAGTGGAGAACTTCTTTGTGCATGCTTTGTTGGTCTTCATATTCACTTGGTCGATGATGACAAGTTGAACAGGCTGAGCTTTCTGGCTCTGAAGCTTTCCTGAGTAATCGTACTGTCTGAGACTGGTTCAGGGTGTTGATCTGTTTATTTATTTGTACTACATCTCCCATCGTAGATTTTGTAAGGTGGGAGAAATGATTGGTTAGTACAGCCAATTAACATCAAGAAGAAGAAAATTAAGTGTTAGCCGTTTGAGCAGGATAGGTTAAAGATAGTGTCAATATGTTAAGAGTAATGCTAATTACTTTTAAAATATTGACACGTCTTAAAGGGATACTTCAACGAAATTTGAAATATATCCGTCGCGTTCAAAAATAGGCTGAATATGATCCAGAATATCCGTAAATGACAATCGCACGTTTGTATTTTGAGCCTGGTGGCTGTATGTTCTGTTATAAACGGCCCACTCTAGCAAGCGCTTGGAGAAGGCCCAGCTTAGAGCACGTGACATCCAACGCAATCGTGACGTAGGTCGTCTCGGGACGAGCGAAGCTACGGCGAGGCTGACGTCGAGAGGATGGCCTAGTCGTTCCAGCCACCGAAGCGGCTGCTTTTGTACGAATTTTGAGTGACGGGTTAATCTTTTATAATCTTGTAGGGAGACAACCGCTACTTCTGCGACACTCAAAAGGCCCTCTCGAGAAGAGGGGAGTTCCTCCTTCCCCTCTTCTCTCGTCGTGGCCGGAGGCGAGACAACCTCCATCACTAGCTGTCAAGGTTCCTAGACGGGCATTACAAACGAGGCGTTAGCGACATCCACAAGGTGCTCTTTGCTAATCGTTTAATTTGTTTTAAAATTCTTTTAGAGCGCAGCTCTTAGGGGCCCGTTTCCGGCTTGAGCGGCGTCGCCGTCGGCGTCGGCATCGGCGTAACCGCGCGGTGCATCATGGGAAATGTCCCATAATGCACTGCGCGAGCCCCCCACCAAGGTCACGTGACCTCGTGGGGGGTCACGTGACCCCCCGAAGTCACGTGACTCCCCTGAGGTCACGTGGCCCCCTCCTCGAGGTCACGTGACCCCCGCCGATGTCGCGTGACCCCCCGATGACGTCATCGTCACTGATGACGTCACCGGCATCCACATCGTCATCGTCATCATCACTGATGACGTCACCGGCATCCACATCGTCATCGTCATCATCACTGATGACGTCACCGGCATCCACATCGTCATCGTCATCACTGATGACGTCACCGGCATCCGCATCGTCATCGTCATCATCACTGATGACGTCACCGGCATCCACATCGTCATCGTCATCATCACTGATGACGTCACCGGCATCCACATCGTCATCGTCATCATCACTGATGACGTCACCGGCATCCGCATCGTCATCATCACTGATGACGTCACCGGCATCCACATCGTCATCGTCATCATCACTGATGACGTCACCGGCATCCACATCGTCATCGTCATCATCACTGATGACGTCACCGGCATCCACATCGTCATCGTCATCATCACTGATGACGTCACCGACATCCGCATTGTCATCGTCATCATCACTGATGACGTCATCAGTGACGTCACTGATGTCGTCACCGGCATCCGCATCGTCATCGTCATCATCACTGATGATGTCATCAGCGACGTCACTGATGACGTCACCGACATTCGCATCGTCATCGTCATCATCACTGGTGAAGTCATCAGTGACGTCACTAATGACGTCATCGGTACCCGCATCGTCATCGTCACTGATGACGTCATCAGTGACGTCAGTGATGACATCATCGGCATTGGGGGTCACGTGACCCCCAAGGTAACGTGACCCCCCCCTGGTTAGTTTAACCCCCCCCCCCCCAGTGCCCTTCCCTCCTCCTCCTCAAGAGCTGCGCTCTAATTCGGCGTTACAGGGAGTTGTAAGCGGCTTTCATTTTTTCGTGACATTTTTAACAAGATATTGGTGTGTTCGATGTGATACTGCTCCTTTGAACATATATAGACCATAAAATAAGCGCCAAAATTTCGTTGTAGTATCCCTTTAACATATTGAAGTAGTATTAAGAGCAAAAAGCAATTGTGGTAGACCTAACATCTTTTTCTTTTTCTGAAGCAGACAGAACTTACTAGCCCTGTATGGTAAACATAATTTAGCAAAAAAGAAATGTTTTTACCCTAAGTGAAAATAAGTTGGCATAATCTTTAAAAATACATGCTGTTGCGACTAAGATTTCCATAGCGCATTCGGTAGTATTTGATGAAAATGATGCGTCGGCCTGTGGTGTCTGGTGGGTTCCTAAGTATTTAGAAATGTCTGTGTAGCGGAATGAACAAATTTTTGTGGCAGGTGGTTCTGTTCATTAATGGATTGAGGAGAGAAAGAAAATTAAAATTTATTATTTTGAGTTGGGAGTTATTCGTAACTAAAGTGTTGATCCGTAAGCTGTAATCGTTGGCTTGTAATGCTGCTAGTGGCATTGAAGACATTGGTTAGTAGAACTACTAATCTAATAAATTCTTTTTTTTTAACTGCTTTATTAGGGTGGGTTGCTACTGTCCAGCTGTACTTTCATTCCTTTTAAGTAGGAGAGGGAGCTTTCTATTCTTAGTTACAACATTTCTGGAGGAGTGGTCTGCCGTCATATCGTTTCCTGGGGCTCTACGCTTGTCCAACTCAAAGCCGGAGCTGAAAGTTTGTGTAGCGCTCCTATTGGACTTCGGCGACGAAAGTGCAGCGTCATCGTTGCGAGCGTTCAATCGGCACACTCCGTAAACTTCGGCCCCAAACTTTCTGTTTGACGAGTGTGGGTTTTGGCAACGAGCACCACTAGAGTTGTGGTCGTTAGAAAGAGCAACTGGATAAATGCTTGAGAGCTATTTCGCACCTTATTTCAATAGCTGTCGAGTAATTCTAAATTTTTTTCTGTGGTACATTTCTTTTTAAAGCAATAGCTTTATAGGGCCAACGAACCTCAGGAGCCGCATAAAGCTCAAAATGTGTAAGATCCATAACCGCTAAACAATCTTGAAAAAAACGGCAACCGGTGACGGGGATCGAATCCCGGTCACCAATATGGAACCAGGTGCTCTGCTGACTGAGCTACGGGCCCAGCACACATGAAAGGGAGGAGCAGAAGCAGGTGGTGTGAGAAAGCGTGCGGAGTGAAGAGGGTGAAGAGGGGTGGATTGGGCAAAAAAGAGAGGAGCAGAGACTGGTGGTCCAGAAAAAGTGCGCAGAACGAGGAGTGGAAAGAGCAGGAAAGCACGCTTCCACCCTTGGTGACCCAGCAAATTCACTGCAAAGGCTTTGTATCTGGGTGGCGCTGAAGTGAAGTGCACACAGCGTCGGAAGGAGACAATGGTGTGACATGATTTGTTTCCATACAAAACCCTGCCCTAGGCACCACTTGAACTAAGAACGCCACCCACACTATAAAGGTACCGCATTTAAATGCGTTTGACAGAATGACCAAACATGCAGCCAATGTTTTCTATACTTAATCTCAGCCTAACTTGGCAAAGGGCTGAAGCTGCGAGTCTTGTAAGCCAATCGGAGTATTGGAGCGAGGCACGTGACAATGTACCATTGGATTGTACTCGAGCACAGAGCTGTCATGCGTTTCTGTCACTTCGATTGGTTTATGAGGGGCCGTAGCTTTCACCCTTTGCCCCGTTAGGCTGAAACCGAGTATAGTGAGGACGAAGGAGTCCCTCCAACTTCCCCAACTCCCCCAACTTGACGGACTGACTTGGATTGTTTTTGGCCAATTGCAGTGCCTGTCTAGCGTGGCCACTGCCCTCCAGTCCGGATTCCTGCCCTACTGTGAGCCCGTCTTCAGGAGATGCGTTTCCCTCGTGGAGCAAACGCTAAACCAGAACATGGTGAGTTGGGTTACATGTGCTGCCACCTAGCAACTGCCACGAAAACAAAAATTAAAAGGGAGAAATTGGTTAGTGTAAGTTTCTTGATGGCTCGTGTACTGAGGGACTGCATGTCGAAAGGTAAATTGCAAATAGAGGAGGTTGATCGTAAACATGGAGCACAGCCGTAAATACCAAGGAGTTTGCTGATGGGGGAGGGTATGGGGAATATTAGGGAGTGGGGAGAAATTGGGGGAATTCTTTAGGGAGTTTTGGGCCAAACATAGGGAAGGTTGGAGATATTTGTGAAAGACATTGGCATTGCTTTATCTCATGCTGGCTTTCTGTGACAGGTGTTAAGAAGCCACCCCCAGAACGTTTTTTTCTGTACTTTGGTAGTCCTCCCAATAACCCAAGGATCATTTAAATGTTGATATTCTTCTTCTAAAGCCTGTAGGATGTCGCCATGCATCGTGCAATGTCATTGTCATCATTGCATATTTTTTTTTTTTAATTATTGATTTGAATGGAGATTGACCTTTTTATAGTCGAGAGGAAGCCTAGAAAGAAAATTGAAGAATGAAGTTATAGTAGGCACTCTGCTTATGAGCACTGTCTGCTTCCTTGCAGCGGGTTAGTGTGCTGCAGTTTCCTGCCAGCAGTGCGTAATTTGTGAACAATTTGAAATTTCAGATACAGGTATTCTATGCAGCACATAAGGTAGGTCTGCCCATCTCATGAGGCATTGTGCTTTGCACTGAAAGAGGCTACCTTGTGGTGACCTGGCTCTGAATGCTTTCATGATAAGGAATGCGACTGGTCAGTTTTAGAACTTCAGCTCTAAGTGTCCTTACAGAAAATGGGAGTCTACTCAGAATGGCTCGCATATCTTTATTGCTGTATCTGCTGCTTTGTGTTTCATGGTGCCGTAAAACTTAAGATGTTGCAAACCTCTCAAGATTTGAGTTCGAAAGGTTTAGAAATTTTCTAACCTTGCCGACATTTGAATTTACAAGTTTGCTGTTCTTTGGCAAAGTGGGAATTTGCAAAGTTTGAAGCTTTCGAGGTTTCTGAAAGTGTCAGTACTACTACTACGATTTTAAATTGCTTCAAAGTTAGAGATACAAAAAAAAAATTTAATTTTGGTATTTGCTTTTATAAACAGTAGTAATGATAAGCGTTGAAAAAAAAAAACATTTAAGCTTCAAATGTTGTGCTTGGGTTGTTTGAAATCTGTTGTAAATTCAAATATGTGTACATTGTGAAACTCGTTAGCTATTAGCGTGGGAGGCTAGCCATGAGGATAGCGCACGGGCCATTTGTCAGAGACATAATTCTGGAAAACTTTGTTGCACCCTGCACTGACCACGTATGACGTGGTCAGCACAAAGGTGCACCAATGCTGAAGTAATAAACTGCAGGAAAAAATGAGGATCTGATCACCATTGTTCTCACAAATACTTTCTTTTGGACAACACATATTTAAAATCGATGCTTCCTTTTTTTTTTTTTTTCGTTACGTGGGATAGTTGCATTATTAAACTTCCTTTGGTTGCTGAGAAATGAGATAAATCGGTGTGTTATTAATTAAGCAAAAATATAGAAGAGAGGTCTATTTCTTGGCTGCAGTTTTTAGTGCAGTTTGTTTTTACTTAACCACTTCATAGAATCAGGGTGTCGAACCAGAACTGAACCAAACCGTTAGTTTTAGCCGAACCGGAACTGAACCGAAGCGAAATCTTCGCTGCCATCTTGGAACTGAACCGTGAAAAAATCTAACGGTAATTGTGTCAAAATGGTTCACAATATTTTTTTTTCTTCTTTTTTGTAAGTATCCCAAAATGAACATTTGGGAATAAAAACAAATTGGCAGCTGTATTTCTTTGTGTTGATCAAATCGTCATATACAGAATTGCAATGTAAGAGAAATTCTGGGCTTGGTGCTTTCGTATTAGGGCTATAATGAATTGCTTGTGACGTGGTCACATGATGTCATGGTGTCAGTCAATACATGCTGCCAAGTAATGTCACGTCACGTGATTTTGTGACGTTGCATGATTCACTGCGTCTAGTCGATTTAAATCGAGAGCGTCACTAGATTTATTAACATTGTTGACAGTGTGACATAACTTGACATCACGGCTTTGCACCAAGAGTCACGTGACACTGTGACTTACAAGATTTTCATGACCCTTAGTCGAGTGCTCCGTATCATCAGCATCGCTAAACATCCGGGTGACGACTTGTGCTTAGTTAAAGATGATAATTGCCTAACTCTGACAATATCTGAAGCTCAGCTTGTGCTCTATGCTTTGCCAACCCCAGCGCATGACTATGATGAACACTGACGGTACATGGTTAGATTTCACCGTCGGACCACACTGTCGCTCGTTCTAATTGAGAGTTGAGGAGAAAGCTGTTTCTTTCCTTCTTTCTTCTCCATTTGCCATGCGCGGAGGGAAAAACTAGTGGATGTTTTTGCAAGTTATCAACGTCAGGGATTACTTTATAGTGGTATTGCACGACCCATTTTACATATATAAACATAATTGAGGCACCCAAACACGTTTTTATTGTTGTGTAACTGCCTCAGAAAGTTGTCCCCAAAACAAGCAAGTTGAAAAAAACGAAATGTGACTTAGTAATTCACGCTGCATAGAACTATAAGTGTGACGGCAGGGATACAATGAAAAAAAAAAGACCCATGTGACCTCAGATTTACATCCAAACGTTTGTTGTTCTTGGGTCCTTGCGCAAGTTTTGGCCACCTCTGCATTTTATTTTTAACTTCACAGTTTGGTGTGAAATAAAAACAAGTGAAACAAATCTTATTGTCAAATTAACACCCCAAACGGAGGAGGCAGTCTCTCAGGAATAAGAAATATTCCTGAACAAATCTCAATGATCACCAGTATATAGTAGTGCAATGACGTCACGTTCAAACCATGTTAAACAGTTCAGCTTCCTGGTGAAATGCAATGTGCAACATTAGCAGTAGATGTCCAAATTGTAAATTTGTGCAGTACAGTGAAACCCGTTTAAAACGAACCCACGTACAGCTAATTATTTTCAATATCGAACTCGCTGAAAATTTAGATAAAAATGCATGTAAAAAGTACTTTTTATAACAAACAACGCATTGGCTATATCGAACTTTTCCCCCCGGGAAGGCTTCCAAAAACGTGCAACAAATAGTCTTCTAGCCTGTCCCTTTTCACCCAAAAATAAGTAGGAAAGAAAGAAAATTCTAAAAGCTCAAGCCGCGAACAAAAATTGAGCGAAGAGAAGCGATTTAGGAGAAGAGAAAGCTAAAAAAACACTGCATGCATGTACAGAAAAAAAAAAAAAAAAAATTGATTCCAAAGTGGTTGCTTACGAAGAGAAGCGATTCAGAAAAGGAGATAAGCTAAAAAATAAATCTGCAAGCATGCAAAAAAAAAAAAAAAAAATTAGCTCGTTGTTACAAGGCAGAAGCGAAGAGATGAGAAAGAAAGAGAGGCCCTTGCCTTACAACGAATGCATCGTGGAAGTTCGTTGTATATGTTTTTTTTTGTTTTTTTTGCTATATTGAACTGATCTTAGCGTTTCCTGCTGCTCGTTATAAACTGGTTTGATTGTATGTATAGAAGTCTTGCAGTGATATGACATACTAATGAAATGTTAGAGCGCATGTGTGATTAAGCACAGAGTTGTAAAGTGAAGGCCCAAAACAAGTTTCGATGTCATGCAAGCTGATGCCAAAATGTGATTTATCATAGGGTTCTAAGAATCTTTGTCCTCTATATGTATAATTACGAATATCATTGCATGCATCTCTATGTATTTATTTTTGCAGTAAGGCATTGTGAATAGGATTACTTAGAAAATATATAATTTATTGTCTCTCTCTTTCTGCGCATTTTGTGTATTTGCCTTTCGGTCTATCATGTGACCACAAAGTTCATTTTGGCGTACCTTACAACCCGGTGTTCCACACTGCCAAACAGCAAACAAAAAACGAAAAAAAAACAGATTTTTATGCAGACTCAGCAGCTGGTGTATTTTCGAGTGTTGGCCTCAAGCGGTTCTGTGAACTTGATAGAGTCACATTTATTAAGGATAATAAAAAGATATTTAATTGCTGACTGAAGATATGGCAGCATTAACAAATGGCCTATCACCTTAAAGATATATATATCGTAAGTAAATGCACCCACATACAATCTGAAGGATGCTCCGAAAAGAATTTTTGCAGCATTTTTGTCTTTTTTAGGCACACGTATCAATTATTTGGGAGGGCCTTAAATAAATTTTTGATTTTGAAGCTAATATAAATAACTATATGTTCCTGACATATATAACTTCTCAATCATATAGAAGTTTGTTGCTGCCCCTTTTATGTGATGAACATAAATTATATGTGTCTGTCGGCTGGACAAAAACAAGCTGTGGGGGGTGCATGGCAGAACTGACGATTGCACACGCAAACCGTTAGGAAGTGACCAATTAAGTAGCTGTGATGTCGAGTTGAGCATGAAATACTATTTTCTTGTACTTAATAAAAAATCATCAGTTAGCAAAGGCGATGCTTATTTGAAAATTGAATTTACTGGCATCTTGTCAAGAATAAACTGCAACAGCCACCTGTATAATCGCCATTTCAGGCCAGATTTGATCCGAGTACGAAGGTGCTTGAAGATTAGAGGGAACTATTTTGATCACTCCTTTCTTCATGATTCTTTGCCTGCATCACGGTGCTGTATAAGCAATGTTAATTATAAAAACAAGTGTGATTGCCACTCAGTGTTTCTTTAAAGGTAGACTGAAAAGGCTTGCCCAAAAATCTTTAGTGATATTTTGAAAATTTTATTGATTTTAGCTGTTGTATCATCATTGTATATATATATATTGTTTAGTTGTATCGTGATCAATATATATATATATATATTGTGAAACATATTTCGTAAACCATAGTTCACAATAATATGTTGACGAGGTGCCGATTTTTATGCACTCTAATTATTTCCTTAGTTCAAAGGCACAACTGTGATTTAACTTTTAATACTGCGACGCAAAGTCGTACCAATCGTGTGTATTTTAGGCGACCTATCACACTTTGCGACAACCTTTTGATTCAGGTGAAATGCATTTGACCCTGGTAAACGAAGGAACGTTGAGTCGTGTAAATACGAAGTTTAGCATGTCAATCCAGATTTCCTTTTACAGTTGTGCTGAAATTAAATAACAAACTTACACATTTTTGGTACCTGAAAATAAACGCGGATTTTACGAACGATAGAAAAAACTACATAGTTAATAGTTTGAAGGAGGAAATAGTGCCTACATTGCCAGGACAATGCGGAAAATATATTATTAGTTTAGTGGTTCAAGCCAGTTCAAACCGGTTTGAGCCATTGTTTTTGCTCCCCGTAACCAAACTGGAACTGAACTATGCGGGAAAAAGTTTGTCTGCTTCTTTTGCAACGGTTTGGTGGCATCAGAACACCGAGCTTTGATTGGCTCTTATTGAAGGATAGTGGGTAGACCTCAAAGCAAGCCTTGAGGTCGGCCCACTTTCCTTCAATCATAGCCAATTGGAGCTCGGTGTTCTGATGTCACCACAACCCCTGCTAAGGAAGCAGACAAACTTGCGCTTCGCATAAAAATTTCGGTTCGACACTTTGTGTACAATAAAAAATGTGGTTAATGACAAGATACAAACTTGACTGGAGCTCTGTCGTGAACGTATGCACAGGCCGCATATGTCTATGCGGGGTGTTGTACGTGAGTTTGTTAGAATTGTGTAAATGATGGAATTGATTGACATGGTGTTCCAGGCCAATGCAGCACACCCAGACCAGTTTGAGGCCCCCGACAAGGACTTTGTCATAGTGGCTCTGGACCTGTTGAGTGGGCTGGCAGAAGGCCTCAATGGCCACATGGAGTCCCTGGTAATGTCTTCGAACATCATGCAGCTTCTCTATCAGTGCATGCAGGTGAGTGAGCCCTGCCTCCCATCGCCCATATCGTGGTTCTAGATTTTTTTATAGGAACGTAACCGATATTGCGACCTGTGCGAATTACATAAGAATGAGAATTGCCGCCTAGGTTTGGTTCGATCCAAAACACGTTGTTTGGTAGCAGCAAAGGCACAGAGATTCCGATTTCTGGGTGGCTTGATCAATCTTCATGGGCGTTTGCACCATCTATACTTCCTCTTGCCTCAAAGACTGACAAGCGGCCAGAAAGGAGAAAACTCTCCCTTGATTCCTTCTTTCCATTCGTGAAAGAGGAAGACTTGCTCCTGTGGGGAGAGAAGAGTGAGAGTGAATGGAGAGGATACTGGAAAGTGGTTTTCCGTCCGGCAGAAGACACTTCTGTAGTTTGCAGCCGACGCTACGAGCCGGTGGAATTGATCAAACGGCATCGGTGTGTTCGTCGGCTTTCTCTGCGTGTTCTGTCGTCTGCTTAACAAGTCGAGCGCAGTTAATGCCCATCTACTTGCGCTTTTATCATGTGTGTCGGCATTGGTGCATGTTCGAGCCTTCAACCGTGTTCGGAATTATAATGAAACGATTTACACTAGCTGCTGCGCCGGTTGGGCTAGTGTAGAGGTTCTAGCGTGATTTGCGGTTGAAGTAATCACACCTTCTAGTTGAGTTTGACCGATCGCTACGCTGGCTCTTAGCTGGACTCAATTTAGACCTATTCAAGGTAGAGTGAATCAATGGGTGCCTGTAGTTAGCTTCAACTAGTAATCACTATACCGTATTTACTCGAATCTAGGCAGATAGTTTTTCCAAAAAAATTAAATCCAAAACTCGGGGGTCGGCCTAGATACGAGGATCCGGCTCCGCCATGACCGCAGGACGCCATCTTGTCTACATCGCTTCGGGAAGATACGCTGCGTACCACGGAACGCACGGAACGTTTGTCTCTACTCGACGCTATGGCATCGACCAGTTGATGCCACTACTCTGTGGCTTTTAAGAGGAAAGTTGTCTTGGCTGCTGAACACTCGTCCAACCTGCAAGCCCAGCGTGACTTCGGCGTGGACGAAAAAAAATGTGCGTCGCTGGAGAAAGCAGCGTGGTCAGCTCTTTGCATGTGCGGCAACAAGAATGGCGTTCTCAGGACCGTGGAAGGGAAGGCACCACGAGGTGGAGATCGAGGTCGCAAACTTCATCATGGCCCAAAGAGCAGCAGCACATCCCGTAACAACAGAAATCATTCAGGCAAAAGGAAGAGAAGTTGCAAAAGAATGAGGTGTGCCTCGGATCGCGGCCGCATGGGACGACATCCCGGCGGAACTGGAAGTAAAGTCGTTCCGAAAGTGTTCCATCTCGAATGCCCTGGACGGTACGGATCACCACGCGTTGTGGGAAGTGGACAGTGACAAAGATACCAGTGAGGACGACGAATGATCAGGAAAAATGCAGACATTAACCGTGAGCATACCGTCGGATTCGTGACCAAAATAGTGCTGTACATTGCAGATAAATTCCGTTCTGTGTTTAATTTATGGTGTTTTTCCTATACTTTTTGGTCGGCCTAGAATCGAGAATTTTTTTTTTTATTTTTTGGCTTTGCCGTTTTTGCGGGGTCGGCCTAGAACCGATGCCGGCTTAGAATCAAGTAAATACGGTACTTTGTGTGCACTAATTACAATTTGTAGTTCGACTTAACCAATTGTTTATAAGAGGAACAATTGCTCGACCCATCATTGCTCCACTAGTCTGTCTAGTTTGACGACAGTTGGTAGTTAGGCCTGACTGTCGACGACTCGTTCATGCAGGATTTAATGCCCGAGGTGCGGCAGAGTTCGTTTGCCCTTTTGGGCGACCTGACCAAAGCCTGCTTCCAGCACGTCAACCCTTGCATCTGTGAGTAATGCCCCCTCTGAACTTGGCCGCCGCGTTGTCCCGTCGTCTCTGCCGCTCGCATCGTTGCTATCGCGGAGAATGAATAGCTCAAGGCACCCCTGGCAGGTCGCCGCACGTGTCCTGTTGGAGCGACATTTGCAGTTCGTTATTTTTTTTTCTCGCCACGGTGCTACAGTGCAACCCGCTTATAACGTTCAGTTTCTAGAGCTTTTAGACTGAAAAGGATCCGTTTCTACTCCAGATGCGATAATCAGTTATAACGATTGAAATTTCGGGTTTTCTCCTTATCGTTATAAGTGGGTTGCACTGTACTTTGAAGAAGAGCTGGAGAAAAACAGAGCTTAGGTACACAATTTGCGGCTCGAAATTTGTTTTCTTTCCGCCCAAAAACTGCCGAACTAGAACTAACCGGTTTGAGTCGCGCTCACTCTTCTTTGTGGTCACGTGCCGTTTTCTATGGTTTAGACACAACCGCCTAAGATAATCAAAGTAAGGGGTCATCGAAGGCACACACTCAACACTAAAAATGGACGAAAATAAGGTACCCATTTCTTGTGGCTTCTAAAAAGTGTACAAATGTTAATTTAAAAAAAAAAAAATAAATTGCACAGCCACATAATTTTTGGTACCTTTCTCCTCCTCTATATTTCTTCTTTCTCTCCAGTTTCGGTTCCGGTTTTGAGAAGTTTCATTTTTTTTTTACTTTATTAAAAATATGTGACCCTTTAGCAAAATATTGATTGAGTAGTCTTCTGACACCATAAAAAATCGCCTGGCAAGCGTTAAAGTAACACTGGCAGTAGCGCCGACAGTACTGCCGACGCATCACCGACTCTGCATCATGTCGGTACCGAGATGCACGTGCGAACCGGGCTTTAGAGTGGTGTCCTTGTGTGCGACCCATCCTTTTCTTTTTTCCGGTTCCAGCCGACTTCCTACCCATTCTTGGCCAAAACCTAAATCCGGAGATAATCTCCGTGTGCAATAATGCCACGTGGGCCATCGGCGAGATCTCTGTCAAACTGGGTGAGTTTGTCCTCTTTCCGCGCAAGTTATTGGTGCTTCTGTGTGTTAGGACTTGGTTATGGCTTAAAAAAATGAAAAGAAAAATTAATTGTGGCGCTGGTCAAATAGACACATTTTTTTTTAGGGGCGAAGCTCCTTAGAGTCCAGCCTTGTCCGTTCGGTGCCTGTGCTCACATCAATCTTGCTGGTGCTCGTGTAAAAAAAAAATAAATAAAAATAAAAAAAAAAAATGTTTGCACTGTTGACAGAATTCGAACCTGTGCGGGGAGACCCCAATGAATTTCTAGTTCATTGCCTTAACCACCCGGCCACGACTGCGGGACGGGTAGGGGCTCTGAGATGTGGTAGTAACTCAAGAGCTGGGGATGTCGTGGATGAAACGTTGCATGTAGCTGCTCAGCGTCTATACAGGAGAGGGCGCTGCAGTCAAATGCGTATATAGTCGCATTAAACTTTGCGTGCATTGGCTCAACGTTTATAGACGAGAGGGCGCTGTGGTCAAATAGTGAAATGCGTATATAACCATATTAAAAATAGCGCAAAAAAGACGGGACAAAAAGACGAAGAAGCACACAGGACAAGCGCTATATAACCATGTTCCATACCACACATTTTCTTTCTGACATGGATGAAAACGAACAAAAGGCTCGGCATGCTGCGGCTCAGCGTCTACGCAGACAAGCACCACCAGAGCTTCGCCCCAATCAACATCATTCACCACGTGGAGATGCAGTCATTTTTTTACCAAGGCTTACCAAATGGTGCAACGTCGAGCGGTTCGGTTTATTTACGGAAAGTATAGAAGGCTGGATTCACCATCTCAACTTATGCAGGCTAACGGAATACAGACTCTTCAGGCCAGAGGGAAACTAGCGCGGTTGAAATTCTTGTTTCATCTTCAGCAAGGACAGACTCGCATAGACCCATTGCAATATATTTCCCCTTTAGCGTCAAGAGCTACGCGGCACAGACATCAGTTTTCACTAACACCCATTTTTGCGCGTACTAATATGTTTAAGTTTAGCTTTTTCCCTCGCACTATTAGCGACTGGAACGGTTTACCTCTCGAACTATTTATCGACACCAACTTTGTAGAAGGTCTCGAGCGTCTTGACAACTAACATGTTTTGCTTTGTACATTGCTGCACCTTCATCTTTTTCGCATGGACATTAGGATTGTATAAACCCTCATACTACATCTGGATAGGTCATTTTGTATTAGTGCATGATGGAATTACATACTGCTTGATGCTTGCTTTCCCCCTCCCCCCTTTTTTTTAAATAATATATCCTGTATATTTGCTAGTTAGTTATAAACCTTTTAATGTCGTGTTATTTGCTTTCGTTTTATGTGTGAATGTATATGTTATTTCCCACACCTACTTGTGCCTTCGATGGCTTGTAGTATCCTCTAAATAAAAATAAAAAAAAAAAAAAAAAAATGTTACATGGTCTGGAAAGCCGGCCCTTGGTGTTCAGAACTTTCTATTCAGCCTGTTTTTGCTCTTCATTTCTTAAACAAAAATTGGCAGAGTTCTTTATCTCCGGATCCCTGTAATGCATGAAATGCAGTATTCAAGGAGCGATCGTTTAGGTTTGTTTAGGAGTCATTAAACGTTGCATGAAGTTTGGTGTCATCATGGTGCTGTGGGACATTGTGCGACGTGGTCGTGTGATGATGTCTAGTTGAAGCGTCGCGCAGCATTGCATCACGTGGCGCAATGTTGCGTCGTGCGACACACTCGCTCAGTGTGAAGTCGCAGCATCGTGTAGTACCTGGCATCGCGTGCCACTGGGCGTGTGTGGACACACGGTCGATCAAAGTATCAGAAGCAGATGCTCTCGTCACAGGAAGTATTCACTGGGGCCGTATCTGTGTGCGCGACTGCTGAGTGCTTGCTGATTTTGAGCTTCCTGAGTCCTTTTGCAACGTGCATTAGCACTATCAGGATTGCCGGTCTAAGCAGCCTGTAGATGCGAGTTTGATTGGAGCATGTGCTCTAATCAGCGCCCTCAAATGGGGCATCCAGTGAATACCCTTCCCCGTATAGCGTTCTACCTTAAAAACAAAACCAAATTACAGACTGTTTCCACCTATCGATGCACTTCCCAAAACTGATTTTTTTATTTTTTTACCGATACTGGTGAGTTGTGGTCAAGTGTGTCGTTCACCCACTTGTGACCGCCTGCAGCCGACCGCTGCAGAACCTCTTGCGATCTCCTACGACAAATGAAGCGGAAAATTTTCCCGCCAAGTTTAGCGGAAATTTTTCCTGCCAAGTTTAGCAGAAAGTTTTACCGCCAAGTTTAGCAGAAAGTTTTCCGGCCAAGTTGAGCGGAAAGCTTTCCCGCCAAATTAAGCAGAAACTTTTCTTGCCAAATCTATCGAAAATTTTTCCGCCAAGTCAAGCGGAAAACTGTCCCTCCAAATTTAGCAGTTTGATAGGGTCATGACGTCCCAGCCACTGGTGATGTCGTGTGACGCATGATGCTACCGACTAGACACGGACACGTTTGCACGGCTTGGCAAGAAGCATGCTTTAATTAAAGAAGGCTTTGCAAACGAAACCCGATAACGCTATTGCGTTAAGCCCTTGAAGGCGAGCGAAGCTTACGCGTCCTCTAAGTTTTCAAGCATGTATGTGCAAGGGATGAAAACAATGCTTTATTCTGTAGGGTCACTTTTTGATGGTGCTCAGTTTTTTATTCGTTTAAGCAACATGCTCTTTCGTTGTTACAGAATGTCGAGTCTATGTCGTTCAACCTCGCGCTGCGTTGCGAACACCGTGATCCAGGAAATTCTTGACAAACTTTGTATTTGACGACTGCGAAAACAAGGAAGCTACAGTTACAATTAAACAAAGGCCAATCAAAAGGGCGACCTCAGGGTGCGCGAGGCAAGGTGCTGCTGCACAGTGCCGCATCTTAAAAGCCACAATAAAAGAAATATGTGTGGAAAAACAACATAATTTTAAGAATTAATGATGATGTTACTGATGCTACGGTGTGTTGTTCCTCCCTTGCAGGCAGAGACATGAAGCCCTACATCCCAATGGTACTCACCCAGCTGGTGACCATCATCAACCGTCCCAACACTCCCAAAACTTTGCTGGAGAACACTGGTACAGTGCACACTGAAGGCCCCCACTGCCCCCTCTCTTTCTCTCTCTCTCTCTCTACTGCATGGGTTCTCTTTTCAAACCTTTCCTTTGACAGCTTGCTTGTTTTTTTTTTCTGGCTTAGAGCTTTTTACATGAGGAGTGTCAGCTTACCTCGACCAGGGTGGCTCAACCAGCAATGTGAGATGAGAAAGCATGCAGAAAAGATACATTTCTGTTTCTCCGACTTAAAAATGACGGTTGTTGTTTTGCGGTTGGGTTTTTGTGCCGTAGCCAGAGGGGAAAAACACTGGAGCAGAACGCAGCAAATTCTAAACGCTGACATCGTTGGTCACAAAAAAAAAAAAAAAAAGAGGAAAAAAAAAACGCATAGGAAGAAAACAGGCAAAAGGTTGGGCGTGTTTGTTTTGCTGTGACGAGTTGAAGCTGTTTTAGCGCTTGTCAACTATCTATTTTTATACAGTGAAGGATGCCGGTGTTTTCCTGCAAGGCAGGCTAGAAAAGAACCAGGCACAGACCATACAAGTGATCTTTTCCCGCTCCCTCGCGCATATTGAGGCAGCATCAGTGATTTGGGTTCGTCGGTACCGCCTATGGGGTCTGCCGAGCCGGAATGCATGGTACCTTTTCTTCAAGATCGGGGTTCTCAAACGTTTTAGTCCCAGAAAACCCCCAGCAAGCCCAAGAAAGTCCCAACCCTCCCCCCATTGCCAACCGGTAATACTTGGCAATTAGGACATTAGATAGTGAACTGGAGTTCATTGCACTGGCAGAGTAAAACAAAATGAATGACTACAGACAGAACAAGAAGGCAGAGTAGTTAACTGGAGGCTCAATGTAAAATATATATACATAATAGTGCAGAGGATGAGGTTGCTTTGTCTGCAACACCAGCTCAATCCATGGCTCGGTCCGTGGAAGGCTAAACCGAGGGGGGTGCACTATAATTTGGGTGCTTGTGGAACCCAGGTAGCCAAGCGTACATCTCTCAGTATCAACATGTACTTTCTGGGCCGCAAGGATGTTAACCTCGAGCTGCGTCGGGTAGCATGGCACGTCATTCCTGACATGAAAAATGCTTCATCCTGCTGCAGAAAAGAAAAAAGAAGTTATGTTCACAGTGACAATGAACTGCCTAGTAGACATTGGCTAGGTGGTGCTCAACATAAGCTCTTGATGTTCTTAAAATATGGAGCAGCTACTACTTTTTGTTCAAATGTGCTATTTTTGACAGGACCCTTCGACGTGTATGTTTCTAGGGAACTGCGGTCAAAAGACGCACGATTTGGGAAAACATAACAACTGTTAATATCATAACAGTTTTGGGGGCTCGCCGGCAACTCTCGGATTTTAATACCTTTCCACGGACTCTCACAGGGTTGAGAACCGCCGTATTTATTCAATCATAGGTCAACTTTTATTTTTGTTTTCCTCAACAGTGCTTTAAAACTGTGGACCTCTTTATAATCATAATCAAAGGATGTCGACGTATAAGGTGCAGCAAAATTTCCAAACCCGTTCATCTTACGCAGATGCTTTGCATCAGCCGTTGCTTCTAGCTTGCCGGTGTGATGCGGTGAACCTCGACGATTAAGGATTTTGAACTCCATGCATAATATAACTAGCAGAGCCTGTAATATAATAGCAGAGCCAGGAATACTGACCAGAGGGGAAGCATGCACATGTCCATTGGAGAGAAAGATGGCAAGAGAAACGTGTCGACACTTCCCTTTTATAGCTTATATCGGTACCTGTGCAATCGTTGCTCATTTTAACTATGTAAGGTCGGCTTTTCTTCACTTACATTGATCCCTTGAGCCACCCTCGTTAATTCTATGTACATACGTCTTTTTTTTTTTTTATTCCCGGTTGTGATATTTACAGAAAAGTCTAATCTTATACATTCATTTTTAAATGTGTTATGTCATAATCAAACCTGGGTCAGTTTTTAGTTCACCTTCGTTTGTTCCTTCCTAACAACTGTGCATGCTTTCAAGGGTTGTAAAAACTTTTATCGTTGCTGATTATTTTGGTTACCTTGTTAAACTGCTGAGCATGATTTAGTAGCACTTTGGTGCAATTGAGTTTGTAATAGAGTTATTCAATTGAGTGGAGGTTTTTTTCACAAGATTTGTTTTCATTCTTCTATTCAATGTTTCAGTATCCAGTAGTATTTTCCTTATTGGTTATGTTTTGTAATTCATGTTTTAGCCTTAGTGCAAGTCCTTTAAATTTAAGTGGAGTATCTGCTTGATACCAATTTTCTTTAGGCTCTTTAGCACCTTGCAACAAAAATTAGGTTGCGAAACAGAACTTTTGATCTAGAAAAGCACAAGAACATTCTTGTGATGTCGTTTTCGGCTCAATTGGCTTGTTTCTAGTCTTGGAACATTAGTGTCTGGCGGTTCAGTACTTTGTTGAACATTGATGCTACTGCTAGGTCTGTCTTGACTCATTGAGTAGAATCATTTAATTTTAACCTGCAGGAAATTTTATTTTCAACACTTTCTGGAAGTTTTTTTTCGTCATAGGATGCACGTCTAGAAGTCTATTTCCTCTTCCTTAACATTACTGTTTGAGTACTAACATTCTCAGCAGTTGCATGACACTGGTCTGTCCTGTGAGTGTTACCGTGTTTGTTCCTGTGCGTTTGCGTTCATACCACACCTGTATCAGTTCTTTCTATGATTGAGTTCTTTTGCTGGCTGCCAATTATAACCAAAAAGGTTGTTGCAGGAGGCTTTTTTTTTACCCTTTCCTTTTTTTAATACTTATTAGCCTCTTTTTCTTTGTGACGTGCAAGGCAGGTGCGGCATAGGCTAATACTTTTTGCCCTGGTTGCCTGGCACATATGATCTTGTAGCGAGAACTGTAACTCTGCTGTCGCCAGCGTCATTAATAATAGTAGTACAAAAATTATATTTTATATTTTCGCTGCGGAGATGTGTTCCTGCTGCTCTGCCTCGCACGCAAATGTATGAGCGTATTTTGGGGAAAACTGCTCCGTTACTTAGTATCCATGCCTGAAATCTTTAATATGTGCACATTAACACATGACACGCGTGTCCTTTAGAATGTTAGTATAATTTTTTTACCTGTCTTACTGTTTTTTTCTTTCATTAGTTTCTTTTATTGATGCACCGTTATTTACCATACTAGCCTCTCTCTCTTTCTCTCTTGGGATATATATATTTTTGATTTTATGAGTGTGGTTGTTGTTGGCCATTATTTGCAGTGTGCTGTGTTTGTTTGTTTATGGGTTGTCTTTGCTTTTTTCTTTTTTTTTTCTCTCTTCTACCTTCCCTCCCTCCCCCTCCCCAATTCTGATGATCCCTTTCCCCCTCTCCCCCCTTTTTCCTCCCTCTTTGCCCGACATCCCCGTGGTCTCCGTGCCTCTCCCGAACCTCCCCACCCACCGGTAAAACGAAAAAAAATACCCCCGAACGTAGCCATTACGATTGGGCGCCTTGGTTACGTTTGTCCGGAAGAGGTCGCACCCATGTTACAGCAGTTTATTCGCCCGTGGTGTGTAAACCCCGTTTTTTTATTTCTCGTTTGTCTCTCTCTCTCTCTTTCTCTCTGTATTCTTAATTTTATGTATTGATTGATTGATTCGTTGATTGCTATTGTTACACCTGTTTCGTGTGAAAAGAATTGATTTTGTGAATTATTTGTTTCTTTTTTCCACCTGGTTATGAGTGTTGCGCGAACGGGTTGGGTTGTGGCAGGGCTCTGTTGCATCTCGGTACAACTTCAAATACTCGTAAGGGCGCCCTCGACCAAAACGAAGCGATAAATGGTGAAAAACGTGGTGTGGGCCATCTTTAAGGATACAACAGCAAAACTTTATAAAAAAAAGTGAGAAAACACCGGGCCTTCTGCTACAAACCACATGAAACTGGAACCGGTACTGCCGATCGCGGACGCGACAAATCTGCATCCCGCGATACAATAAACACGACAGAATTCGCTAGAAAACCCTGTGTCACGAAAAAAGATATTGTGGAGTGGACGCAGCTGATTTGCCTTACACGGTGCAAAGGACACGCGGGAACTCGCCGCACACTTTTACGTCGTCGGAACCGATATCAAGGACACAAAGACTTGCGTTTCACCGTGCTATGAACATGCGGGGACAACTCGTATGTCACGGGAACCGACATCGCATGTGCAGATCTGGAACAGAAAAACTTCGGGGGGGGGGGGGGGGGGGAGGGGATTAAGTTTCGTATTTAAGAGTGGAACGCGATAATATTATTGGCCCTCGGGTTAGCAAAACCTTCTTATATAAGCCTGCGCATATTCCCAAGCAGTCCGACTGTGTGTGCGTGGTCTAGTGGTAGCGTCACGTGCGACGTCATGACATTATCGACCCGTTAAATTTAGCAGAAAATTTTCCGCTATATTTGGCGGGAACATTTTCTGCCTGGGTAAATTTTCTGCTAAATTTGGTGGGAAAATTTTTCAATTTATTTAGCAAAGTTTTTCCATCAAATTTAGCAGGTTGCCAGGGTTGTGACACCACAGTCACGTGTGACGTCGCACGTGTTTGTGCGCTTTGCATTATGGGATTTTTGTCCCACCGACGCCAACGTCGAATTTTCTGCGATGTGAGCTCCTAATGGGATTCCCGTTAAACATCACGTGATGTCCAACAGCACAAGGGGGTGGGGGATGTTTAGAGCTTTATGTCACGAATATTTAGCTAGAAAAGCTGGATAGCCGATCTCTCGGGGGAGGGCGCCCTTACGGAAATTTGCAGTATAGGCCTGCACATTATTTTTTTTGGTGTAAAGATGAACTACATTGTACCCTGTTACACCAGACTATGGTTTTTTTAGACTTGCCACACTCTGAGCGGAAGGCATTGACACTTGAGTAGGTTTAACCATCAGTGTTCCCTTTGCAAAGAAGCCCATAGGATGTTCAGAACAATTCACACTCCTACGAAGTAGTGTGCGGCAATTAATTTGAGAGTAGTCTGTACTTCTTCGGAAGTTCTGCTGCCAGGTGTCAGCTTCAAAAGGTGAACCTGAACATCAGGTACTCCTTCGATAAACATTCATTTTTAATTTTTCACCTTGTGCGTAGTAAGCTCGTTCGATTGAAGCAACAGTTTGGAAGTGTACCGCCATGCTCGGAGCATATGCTTTCTGCACGGGTATATGTCGGTGCAAGTAAACTGAATATGCCTATCAGCTTTAGCTAGCTGTTATATAAGGTGAGAGACGGCACAGAGCCCTGCCAGTTTTTTTTCACGCAGCATTTGACTGCTCCTTCGTGAAAACTTCATTTGCTTTCTTTTTTCCTGCCATGGCTTCCAAACAGTTTCTAGGTCTGGCAACCTGTATTGTTTCCCCCCCCTTGTTATTGTCTTAATTTGTTCATTATATATTATCTTTGCCTCACAACGCTCATAATTTATATTTTTCTTGGTGGTTAGGCATTTTAACCCGGTAATCTTTTGAGTCTCTCTAAGTTCACTTCCACCAACCCTGACCATAGTAGGTGTTGTGGCTGCATTTGTGACTGCGACCTCTGTTCAACTGTTTGGAAGTTATGGTCCCGTGTGTGTGTCTCTTACCTTGAGACTAGAGTAAGCTAGCCACCCTCTTGCTCTCTCACTAATTTGCACATTTTGCGTGTGTGTGTTCATTATTATTCTTTTACGCAAGCACGTGGGTTTTATTTTTGCCTAGGTGTTGTGGTCCTTGTTGACAAGGCACCATTCCTTCAGTTTCCTTGTTGACGTTTTGAACCTTGGTTGACCTCCAAAGTTGCCAGCCTTTGTTTTTTCAACCAGTCTCGTTTTTGCATTGGACATCAGATCTATTGGCTCTTCATTGAGCCTGTTTGGTACAGACTCAAACATTTCCTCTGCCTTCAAAATTTTTTTGTTAGAGCACAAACACCGTTCTAGAGTAAAGCCTGCATGGTGAAATTATTACCGAGTGTTAATTGCTCAATATCTTGTAACACCGTGCTAACTGCTTGTGCAATTGTCATGCTCTGACACTCGGGCGTTAAGTGGCAGTCGAGAAAAAGGAAATGACTGAAAGGCAGCTCTTTCAAGGTTCAGGACCGATCCCTGTTATAGTGTTTTTTTTTTTTTGAAGAGTAGCAAGTTAGTTTCCTTTATCATTTGTGCCTGTCGGACATCATTTGGCCAGATGTTGATTTCCCTTTTTAATCATATTGGGTATATCATGTCAGCGGGGTTTACCTGAATTGAGTATTTATGTAGCTTTTAACGTTGGGAGGCAATCTCTGTCCAGAGATTGAGCTTTGCTATCTACAGACTAAGGTCGCCGAACCCTGCCTTCTTTTTTAAAGAAATTTGAACAGGCAGCAGGTATTTCTGGAATACTGTATGGACTTCTTGCAGGGAGGTGCGAGTTTTGTCTCATTGAAGTGCTCAGTGGCATCGGCGAATATTTGTCAGTCATGACTGTCTCGCCGATAGTAAGGATTAATACGGACACTTGCTACGGAGCCGCTTATTTGGTAACATCGGCGCCTGGCCACAATGATGCTCGACTCTAAGAAAATGTGCGTTTGCATTCTTAGTAGTAATCGGCAAGCTTTTGTACATCACCCACTCTGGGTAAGCTTTAACCCGTTAAGTGACACCTTTTTTTTTTAATAAAGTAACCTAAAAGTGCCAAATTTCTTTTTTTATTTAGAAGTTTTATTCCTCTAGTATTACACATATAATTTGAAAAGTTTATTATGCACAAATCAGCGGAGGCGAAAAAAAAAAAAAAAAAAAAAATTTGCCAACTAAAACGAATGTTGCCATCTATGATCAGCGCCGCAAAACTACTTGGACGAGCCTAGCTCGTCCGTGGATATGAGGGCTACCGAAAGAACCGCTGGACAAGCTGAGTTCGTCCATGGCACTTTTAGCCAGAAACTGGCCGACGAGCTCGGCTCGTCCGAGGCACTTGAAGGGTTACGCTGTTTACTTTTGTGCGGAACTGAGGCATATCACCCACAGTCTGCCAAGGGCTTGCAAACTATGAAACTTGAGCTGGCCAATGAGCATGAATTTCGGGTAAAGCTTTTAATAAGATTCGAAAAACATTTAGGAAGCCATTATTTTCAGAGGTCTGTTAATTTTTTTTTTTTTCCCTCATATTTCATGAAGTTCGCCCTTTTTTTTTTTTTCCTTGTAGTTGGCATTGTACAAACTACCAATTTTACAGTTTCTCTTAGATCGTTTCCCAGTAAGTGTCTGTAAATATTTCTGGGCTTATGAGAGGTTTTAAGAACTTGCACCAAGAGGTACCAACACCGACGAATATGTACGCGTTTCGATTTTTTTCACGTAAGAGTTGGGAAAACTTCAGCGGTATAGTTGTGACCCCCTTATCCTAACTGTGGCAAAATGTCTTTGTTTTTACCCAAGAGGAACCAAATGGTACTACTGACCTCTCATTTTCCTTGCGGATAGTGGTTACAAGCGCCCTGTGCCATTGTCGAGACAAATCCGCAAGGCCTCCATTATACCGGTACCGAAGCGGCGCAGTAGAGTTGTCAATGCCGTCTCTGGCCTACGGTCAAAGTGTGCATTGCAAAGCGCCGTCGAGCACAATACGGGCTCGGTGGCGTGGTGATTCGGCGGCCTCACATTGGCCCCACTGAACCACCTTTTCTAAAATGTAATCGGCAGTGCAAACGAGCCCGGTGCACTCTCTTGTTTCAATTCGATAAACTGACCGGTTTATTAATTAATTTATGGAGCACGGATAAGTGGGTCACCGACTGTGCGGATGTGGTGCCTGGAATGTGTCTCTGGCTGGTGCGTTTGCCGCCTCCTCGTCTGTTGTCCCCCAACTTTCATCTGACGATGTCGTAGGACAGTAAACACCCCAGTCAACGGCTCGTTCTATGCGGGTGCCATTTAGAGGTGGCAAGTGCCACTGCATGTGGGCAAGCCACTCTGTCTGTCGGGTGGCGTGTGCTAACCCCTACCCTGTTTGTGTTGTGCCCACTCCACCCCCCTCCCTTTCCCGGGACGCCGTGAAGGTGCTCGTCGCTGCGGAACATTAGGGACAATGAGGAGAAGGACTCTGCCTTCAGGGGCATCTGCAGCATGATCAGCGTCAACCCCGGCGGAGTGGTACACGACTTCATCTTTTTCTGCGACGCCGTGGCCTCATGGGTGAACCCCAAGCAGGACCTGAAGCAGACGTTCCACGAGGTACGGTGGTGCGGCGCGCCGTAGTTGCCCGCTGCGTGAAACGCGCCTTAGACGTTTGCGAGTATGGCCCCTGGGCACCGTCATCACGCTGCCGGTGCGTGTAGGTCGTCCAACAGTCGAGCATCGCCGAGACGTATCCACGGCCTCAACAATGCTCGACTGTCAAACGACCTACCCACGTCGGGAGCAAGGTGGCGCGGCCCACAGGCCGTATTTGCAAACGTCTATAGACAGTTCCACTCGGGTGAGAGGAGAGGAAGAAACGGAGCTGCAACGTTTAGGCAGTTCCAGCGGTACTGCCCGCCGGAACTGCCCAAAACGTTGAGACAACACCTCCTAGAAGACAAGGCCGTAGCGCTCTCCTCGTGACGTCGCAAAGGAAGGCCATCGGGGGCGCGCGTCGAAGCGAATGCAACGCGCGTAGATCGACCGTCGTAACGCGTTTTTAGTCACATACGCGTGTCATATTAGCTAAAATGAAAGCTGCACATAGCAACGGGTCTAGAAAACATTTTATTACACGAGCAAAATATTACACCGCTAAATAATCGGTACGAAATGGCACGAGGTATGCGTACAAGACGTCTATAGAAAAATGTGATTGGTTTAAGTCGAAAACATTGAGTCAGGCAATTATTGTTGTAGGAATGCATATTTTATACAGAAATACTTCGACAAAATGGCGAGAGACGCAGTGATTTGGAAACAGCAAAACAGAACAGTTAAAATCAGGTAGACGTGGTCAACGCGGACAAGGCAAGACAAGTGTTTCTCACGATCATGTAAGCGACGTTATTGCGTGCAGTCACTGAATTCTTGCATCATACCCCGGCCACATGGAAAAATTAATGCAATTTCGATCGAATGACATTGTGGGGTCGACAAATCTGCTTGCGGCGCTCGTATAACCACTCAAGTCCGCGAGCTTATTAAATCCTATATCACTGAATGAAAATATATTAACTTTTCCCTGTGGCAGGGGTACTAAACTATACTTAGTCTACTAATTTACTTCTCCCTATGGGGCTCGAGCTGCCTTAGAACAACACATAACTTATTTTGTATATAATAATATTATTACCTTAATAGTTAAGATGCTAGTATAAACGCGGTAAAGGCAATACAATAACCTTAGAATAAACAAACAGAGAACCACGAACAACGCACTTTCAATAATCACGCAAACTTGTTTTTCACCTTGCAGTGAAAACAAGATTAGCGCGCATATTTACAAGTGTCGACGAAACGGCACGCGGATCATGATAAAGAACAAAATTGCAATCTATCATGCGATTAAAAAAAAAAACGATTGCAGCATCTTACTTGCGCCCTACATGACCAAGAAAGCCCGTAAATAAGTTGTTTCTCACCTGTTGATCGTATCCATTCCATACGTCCCACAATATCCGTGACGTACACATTTGAACACAAACTCCAAGAAGCCTCTCTCTGTCGAGAGAGGTCTATCGATTAATCGACCAGTCTTCGTTGGCTAGTTGTTACACATGTCACTCAAACCGAAGCAGTACTTGTTTCACGAATCCACGTAAATGCCGTAGTATCAAGCGAACACAAAAAAACTACCCGAGACTACGGTGATGACAGAAATACGACGGGAAACAAGTCTCAAAAGTACCACACACGAGAGCAGCGGCGACGAAAGGCTTGACGTTGTCGACCCATCTCTCGCTCGTGTGCGCTCCCTGCGACAATGACTGGATTTCTTTTCGGTTTCCTTCCCTTCTGAGATGTCTCAGCGTTCCTTTTCAGACAGTCAGCAGCTCACACACAACGTAAATTTACCAGAATCGGAGCCATGTGGCATCGGCAGCATCGCAGCCGGTCCTTTCGAAAAGTGTGGGGTGCTGCGGAACTGCAGGTAGTCCCGCGGTTACGGGGATACTCATAAATATAAATTTGGTACTCTCAACCTTGGTAACGCGTTGTATATTATGTTTATATTATATATATAATAAATTGTACAAGACTGCGCCTTTAAAACGTATATTAATGCCGGATAAACGCGCATGAACACCACCGCGCCGAGGTACATTTTTTTCACGTCGATAGCGTATTCTCACGTAGTTGCGCCATGGACTTCCTTCCTCCGCCATTGTGACGTAACCTCTCAGAGCGCTCTGGCCTTCTTCTCTAGGAGGTGTTGGTTGAGAGCGGCTGGTCTATCGTCTGCTGTCGGGGTCGGGCGTATGCCCTTACCCCTTTTACCCCGCCAAATCCGTCTAGATCGGCCAGTCTGTTGTGTGCTATCGGGTTCGGGTGTTGACCCTTCTCCTCTTTTACCCTGCTGAATCGGCTGGAATGCTTGGACGTATGTAGGTGGCTTTGCCTGCTGATTGAAATAGTCACTGGCAGGACGAGAACATCGGGTAATGGAGCACTGAATAGTCACTAGCAGGACGAGAACGACTGGACACCTATTTTGGGTGCCCGGTCTCCGTCACGCGCACATTGCCGCAGTCATGCTGTGGCCGTGCGTGTGTGCACGAGTCCAAGAACGCACCAGAGGGTCATCGGAGGCAGGAATTTGTGCTGGAGGGCGGACCAACCGAAGGTTCTCCCTGTCAATCCAGTCCTGCGGGTGACTTTCGATGCCGAGGCCTTGTGCCGGATGGTCTTCATCAATTACCCGAGGCATCAACTACCCAAGACGAGGCGACGAGACCCGGCCGAACGCCGACATAGTTTTTCGCATCTAATCCGTGCCCTATGCTGGCTTCTGCCCAGGCGACACGGAAACTCCCTCTGGCACTGTCGACGTAGTTAGCTAGGACGTGTCGATCGGGCGGGAATTTCGAAGAGAGAGAGAGGAAGTTTTCATTCTTCAGAGTGGCACCCCTTGACATGCTCACCTTTTAATTCTGTAGGTTTCGGTTGTTAGCAAGGAAACTGAGCTTTCTGCCCTCGAGGCCATTTGGAAACTAGTCCTTGCTGCCGGGTGATCATGTGTCTCTCACGGAAGGTCCCCAAATTTTGTGATCTAGAACATCTACGAAATGAGGATCTAGGCTAAGCAAGTGCACGACACTCGACTCATGTTGAAAATGAAGGCACTGCCACAAACGATGCTGAAAAGTACCGTTCCTGATTGCCCTAAAGAAATGGGATAATTTTTTTTTTAGGAATTAATTGGCCTTTTGGAGTTCAAATGAATTAGGCATGTGGGTGATGTTAAAGGATTAAGGCACAGCCAGAGCAGCGGCGAGCGTGCCAGAACGGCATGCACTTGTGGCATCTTACTGCGAGAAGGCCACACTGTACTTGTTTCGCCGTTGCGGCGCAGTAGTCACGTGACACCACTTAAAAATGTGCACTCTTTCGACCTGCTCGAGATTGCGCAGTCTATCGAGTGTATGTTTGGTACCGTCAATGCATCGTACTTTGGCGTCTACTTTTTGTTGGGTCGTTTTATTTATTTTGGCTCTCCTTTTTCTTATGTCGAAATGCCATGCTGTTTCTTGCAACTTCTGCCTGAGCCGTGGCGGGCGTTAATGATGATCTCGTGACAACCGTTAATGCGATCACCCTGCTCTGTCGTTTGATTGTGCGAAGTAGCTGAGATTAAACGGCAAATCGATGCAGGTTCATGGGTTCGGCCAAGTTTGTGGAATATGAGGATTGAATTGCACTACAGAAACAGCACTTTCGTGCCCTTGGCTGCATTTGCCGTTTCGTTCTTGTAATAAAACTGCGTATGACCTGTGTGCTCTTGCTCAGTGATGCCACAGCGTGTGCAATTTACAATACAAACACGAGCTGAACCAGAAGATGGCCAAGATGTCGGGCAAATGCCACAAGCCGTGTTGAAGACAAACCGTGCTGAAAGCATGTGACTTTTTGGTGTGGCCTAGCAACTTGCAGACCGTGAGGTCTCATGGCACACTTTTGGCGCTGAATTGGTTGGGCTAGCTTGTGGCAACAGCTGCGGTCACTCTAGTTTTGAAAGAGAAAGCGCAGCTTGTGGCGGTTGCACATTGCGATGACATCCCTACGTCATACAGCTGACGCCTCTCATTCGTCCCATTTTTTTGTGTGGCACGGCAGGCAGAAATCGCGCACAGATCATTCTCCTGATTGCGGGGAAATCTTGTCCTGCGGCGAAATTCACCTTGGCATCCCCCGGTGTCGGGAAAACTGCACGGGCTGCAGGCCGTCGTTCCACTAGTGCGGCCGCACTCGTGGATGCAGAAAAAAGCTGCACTGATTCGCTGATCTGTGCTCCTTTCGAGTGTGCCGGCGGCAAGCTCTCGAGCGTTGCCACGGCATTACTATCATCACGACTGCAGGTGCCGTATGTGATTGGCCCTCATTTTGTTGTGCGGCATGGCAGAGATTGTGCACCAGCCGATCTGCTGGCCGGCAGACAAATCCCTGGCAAAACCAGGCTTGTGCGGCGAGCTGCCGTTCCGCTAGTGTGATCGTGCCTTTAGAGCTCCTCAACCTAGAGTACTAATCCAGTGCATCCTTGACAGTGTTCTCTGGGCCTCATAAGTCAATTTATCAAAGCATCACGTCGTAGCTGATAGTGGTCTCTAACTTAAAACTTTCTTGGCCAAAGTCCATTAATTATTGCTTTGCTGGTCAGGCATACCATACAACTAGCATTGTGGAAATGTTGCTTCACATCTTGAACCTCATCAGGCATTGTAGCGCCTTTTCGGACAAAAGTAATGGTTTGATGTATAGAGGTCTGGTTTACCGTCAGATTGGCTGGCACACCATCTGATTAGCTGGCACACCCGAGTGGAGCCCGATAGATGAGTGTAGATTTACCTCTTCAAAGGATTAACTGTGGTCTAGCACGTCTCAATATTTAATGTCAGTAACTACAGTGAACCACCTTAGTCAATTGCACTTTTTGAAGTGAGACTGCCTTCTCTGCACAGACGTTTAAGGCTCAGAATCCTTGTTCTCTAACTTCAAAAGTGACGGTGAAGCAGCAAAAAAAAAAAAAAAGAAATTGTTCTTTTTTCTATCTGGTTAGGACAGGCATGTCTCAAAATAAATGTCCGTCAAAAAAATAATTTTTCTTTGTCCAATATCTAAGTTACAATACGAATTTTTCGATTTACCAGCGAAACCGAAATTTACCCCTGCGGGTTGATGATGCTGATAGCATTCATACTCAACTATACTCGGCGACAACGTTTCTTGGCATTTCTGGGGAGAGGAGGAGAGCCTGCGCACAGTTTTATTCAGCGCTCAAAATGGGAGAGGGAGCGCGTGCCTGTACCCACCACTACATTGCGAAGAAAAGTTGTCGTGGAGTATAGTGTGTGCTCTGAGGTTCAGCAAACTCGGAGCGCACTGTAGTTGGGTACAATTGCCATCGTCATCATCCCACAGGGGTACAATTTCGGTTTTGCTTGCAGATCGAAAAATTTGTATTGTAGCATAAATAATAGGCCAAAAAAAAATTTTTTTCTACAAATATTTATTATGGAACATGCCTGTTTTAACCACGTAAAAAACAAAAATGTTTCTTTCCTAGGTTTAGTATTTTCTTTCAAGGCATACCTTACCGTCGCTGACCCCTTGCTCAAATGTTAAAGTAGCAGTGCGAGGGTGTCTTAGGGGCCTTGGAACAATTTTTTTCGCTCTAGCCGGCCAGCGCTCAGAATAAACACTTGTAAACAAGGGACAGGAATCAGTTTTTGTTTACATGGGGCTGTCCTTACAGAAAGTGCATTTATTAAGTTCATCGAGGAGTTGGAGCCCCTTAATGAAACAAAAAAAGGAAAGGACTGTCTATGGAACAGATAATCCGATTGGTTGCACTTGCCAGAGGTGGAACAGAGAGGGGCGTAAACCTTGGAAGTAGCAAAATCAGAACAAGAAAGTGGGAACTCTGGAGTCAATTCACGACTCCAGCAAAATGGACGCCACCAAGCGGGAAAACCGGGAACCAGCCGGACCAGGTCGCTCCGCGCCCCTCTGCGTCTCTGGTGGCTTTCGCGGACACGTTTTGTCGGCGCAATGGCGAACAATGTAATTTGACGAAGGTCCGGAAATTTCTTAAATTTGCCTGAGTGTTCATTAGTGTGGTGAATTCCTCAGTAGATCCTTCCATCACGTGTTTGAAAGCCCGTTTACTCCACAACACACGGTCGCGTGCTTTCGATTTCTTGGATGGGGAGGAATCACGGAAAAACGTTTTGATTTCTTGTCTGTCTCGAATCACATTCAAAGTGACGATTGCTTGGTAACTGATGTGTGGTTTCTTCATAAGGATGTAGAACAGTGGACTGAGGACAGACGGGGCATTTCACCGGAGGGAACACCAATGTTGCAGTCAAGTGAATGGGAATGTTCGATAGCTGCTTTTCTTGAGTTTGGTTGTGTTCGGTTAGCTTCAAGTTTGAGCCACCCACGCCGGTCGGTGCGTTGGCTATTTATCTTGCCTGCTTTTCGCTGAAAAAGTCTCTGAACCACACTGAAGGAGTTGGGCTGACTTCGCAATTACTTGATTCAGGAAAACCTGCTCGCTGCAAATGATGAATGAGGGAAATTATCTGTTATCAAAAGGTGGGGGACGAGTCTCGCGATGTTAGAAGCTGTCACGACATTTTGATCTATCACGCCTCCAATATTTATATTACCCTATACCCCCGTCGGAGCCAGCAGCAACATACGTCCACATTGCTCAGGTTGACCTGCCACAAAAAATACTAATTTTCTCCGTTCAGAATTCCAAGCCAAGTTCAGTGCAGAGAGGCTCTGCGTGAATCTCCGATGGAACCTCTCTTTAGTTTGTCTTTGTGCTGCCAGCTAGACCCATTTGGCTAAGTTTAAGTAGTATCTCCGTCTGTCAAATATACTTTTATTCAGCAGTTCACCTAATAGCTAGTCAATTAAGCTCATATTTCAACCCAAAGAATATACTAATATCGCTTTAGTGGGACATAGTACGTAATATAATACATAACCTGCTCGTCAAAATGACTTCTCGATTGCTACTAAAACCTGAATTGAAATACGAGTATCAGCTGCTTAGTGGGGTGCCGGCGGGTTAACATGGTCCTTGGCTCAAGAAGCGCTTGCTTCATTTTCGTAATTTTCCTGCAGCCTGTGTTGTTGACCGAGCAGACGACTGGAGCTGTTTCTTAAACACGGATACGCACGAAAGCTTAATTTCGCGGACAGATAAGTCGCATGGTCGAGGAATGCGAGTTAGCTGAAAATTACTCACGGTGGAACAATTCTGTAGTCATTGCCGTTTTCCTTAGATGATCAAAACTGATGAGTATACAGTTAAACCTCGATGTAACGAAGTCGGTAAAATTCGCAATTTACTTCGTTACATTGAAATTTCGCTAAATCGAAATTTGGCTTTAGCATGCGAAAAAAAAATTCCGAAACATTTTACGGGTATGAAAACTCGCCGAAAATGACATTTATTTTGGGGCAAAGTACGCCGCGAGTTTTGCTTGCGCCTTGTCCGACAGTAGCAGCGGCGTGGCGGCGTCATACGGCGTTCGAGCGCCCAGAGCGCTTGCACGGCATCTTGCTGCCCATGCGACGCCGTGTACCTCCTCAGTACGTCCATTGCGTCGAGCACTTCCGAGTGCTCGTGATCTCGGCAGTTTCTTCAGGATGGCGTCCAAAACGTTTGCTTTCTCATCCAAAGAAAGAACTTTACGTTTCCTTATGGCAGCAAGCACGTGAGTGAGCCGCCCGGTTGAAAAATAAAGCTGTTTAGTTTAGGCGGTGCCAATGTTTCCAACCTACACAGCACTCTTGACCGCACAGTTTACTCAAGTTTACTTGCCCTCTTGCGCCCCTTGCGCCCACAGTGTGCTTGCGCAAGACGATAATCGGTCTTCTCCTAGATGGCAAGACGATAATCGGTCTTCTCCTAAATGGCACTGCCCGTGCGGTCGCGCGGTCGCGCCATCACGTCGCTCCCCCGCTGAAGTTGGCTCCCGCGCTACCCGCGGTACAGTGGACTATGATGATCAGTGAATGTCAGTGGTGATGCTGTTATGCCGTGTTAACTTTTTGCTCGGCATTTTCTGGCCAGCCCCGCGGAATCCGCTTTGCCGCATGCCTCGCCGGCGCTACCGGCGCCGCATCCTCGGGCAGCCTAGGAACGTTGGAAGGCCTGTCCCCGTGACGTAACCTATCAAGCGCTGGCGTTTGCGCATAATTTTTTTTTTTAACCACAATTTTTTTGCGAAGTTGTTTTTTAGAGTTGATTTATTTATTGCCTTCTATGGCAATGGCGCTTCGTTATATTGAAATAGCAGCAAAATAGACTTCGTTATATAGAGACTAAAAATACATGGGGTCTATGGGCAAGAAATTATGAAAAATAAAATACTTCGTTTAATCGAGGATTTCGTTACATTGAAGTTCGTTATATCGAGGTACGACTGTATTACCCTCTCTTCGGAGCCCATAGTTTCGGTTGTGAACGAAATCTCTGAAACGAAAGTTTGACATGAAAAGAACAAAAAAACACCGGGAAAACAGAACTATGCTTTGCAAGTTTATGTGCACCGGCTACACTTAAAGGAGATGTGCAACAGTTTTTGTACTGTGCACAAATACCGCTTAAAACGGATCCCTGACGTTAATGACCTATGAAACACGCGTTCGTTTTTCACCCCACGCAATAGAAGTCCGAGAAAAAAATTTAGGAAAAACGAGCAGCGTTCACCCCCTCAACTCGCAGCCAGAACAAGCGGTCACGTGATCTGGAGCCGATTATATGCCGCCAGTGTTGATCATGGCCACGCGCTGGGGTTGGCAAAGCGCAGGACACGCGCTGAGTTCCAGACATTGTTATGGCTCGGGTGCTGTCGCCGTTGCAGCGATTGGACACGGGTCACAACCCGAATGCTTCTCGAGCTAGCAATTGTCACGAGCCCAAGTCGAGTGCCCACGCAATGCTCGGGTCCAATCTATGAACCGCATTCAAATATCGTCACTTGGGTGTACTGCGATCCCCGAGTTACGTCATCAAATTTTGCAAAGGAGAGATTGAATGAAAATGATCGCTTTTGTCCTTGAAATTACACAGCAACAAAGGAGTTTCTTGGCCAATGGAGTTGCGTGTGAGTGTCCTTGAGTCCCAGGTGTGCCAGTAAGCTCGTGTAGAGAGAAAAACATTCCAATTGAATTTCGTTGCACAGCTCCTTTAACCGTCTCAGTTCAAATACCTAAAAAATTGGGCATTAAACAAAAGAATATCAGTTAAATTGAACGCGTCATCTGTTCGAGCGGCCCGGCCGAGCTGACGTGACCTGGACTCAGCTGCCGTGTTTGTTTGGTGGTGGCGCCCCCTATAGGTCGCTGGAGTCGTGTATAGCTGCTAGAGACTGTGATGTGTTGCACAAAGGATCCCTTATGCAGGGCCTCCTTTAGTTTCATGGTCCCCATACAGGGTTCTCACGAGACCTTGAAAACCCTTGAATTTGAAAATGGCATTTTCCAGACTTTGAAAGCCCTGGAACTTCTAGTGTCCCTGAAAACCCTTAAATATCTCGATGATAGGCAGTTTTTTTTCTTTCATAATTATTATTCTTTTCACGTGTAAACATAAATTTCAAAATTTCAACGAATTTTTTTTGTATGGCACATTTAGTGGATGCCCATTAGGTGCCTGGCCACAATGGTAGCAGTCCCTATGGGTCTGGTTCCGGTTTCGCCCCTCCGCTGTCTTTGGATCTTGCCCCTCGTTTACATTGTTCTCTGTGTATTGTTTGCTAGCTACTCCTGGTTCGCTTGTTCTGCGTCTGTTTTATCCTTAAAAGAATCTCTACAGGCCCTTAAAGGTCCCTAAGAACCCTCGGATTTTTTTCTTTAAAGCCTGTGTGAACCTTGCCATGCTCCCAATGTGCATTGAAAGCAAATAGTGTTGCTGGTCTTGATGTTGTGTGGTGGGGGGGCATGTCTGGCGTGCAGATCCTTCACGGGTTCAAGAATCAGGTTGGGAACGAGAACTGGCAGCGGTTCTCTGAACAGTTCCCACCTGCACTCAAGGAGCGACTGACGGCAAACTACGGCGTCTGAAGAAAGGTAACCACCTGCTCATTCTGCCCCCCTTTTTAGTGTTCGACATCTACGGGAGTTGTTGAGAATCAGTCTATTTTTATGGATGTGTTATGTATTTTTTGTTGTCAATTAGAAATGCATTGTTTCGTCTTTGATGTACTGCGACGAATGTTAAGAGCCATGTGCACCACTCTAGTGTTTTAAGTGTGCTACGTGACTTCGCACTCTGTGCATCACTGACAAAACGGGAAGGTCAACTGCGTTGGCTTTGGTGGCTCGGGGAATCCATTGCACCACATCGGGGGGGAAACAAAATGTGGAGCTCCACTCTCAATACATCGCATCCTAGGGGTGGGACAGCTGCGTGAATTGTGCGCAGCTGTCCGAAGTGTGAGGCGGAGCTCACGACCACGCCAACTTCTATATATAGCCTTGGCCGTGAAGGAAAACCAGACTTCACGAACACGATTAGTCTCGGGAAGTTCGGCGCTTCCAGTGCGTTCACGACGTCTAATTTTCCTTCACGGCCAAGGTTACATGGAAGCTGCCGTGGCTGTGAGCTCCGTCCCTTGGTGGCGTCCACGCATTACAACCTGGTCGTTGAGTTTCCCCTCCCCATTCCCTACAGGATTTGAATAGGCGAAGGAGGGCAGGGAAATCCGGTTCGGCAAAGTATTACAGGTCTCGCGCACTTGCAGCTTGCTGCCAAACTTCCGCAGGGAGGCGCTGCTTTTAAGCACGGAGTGATGTAACGACATTCGGTATGCGGTCGCTGACCGATTTATAGACGTTTTCGCCGAACCGTCACTTGCCCTTAACAGTGATGTGATTGCTGCGCCAATTGCGCCAAACTGCGCCAAGGGGCTAACCCTGCTACATCCTGCTACATTTTGCCGAAATATAGGTAATCTGCGCCAAGCCTGCGCCAAAGAACCAATTTTGCTCGCCTTTTAAAACCGAAACTAAACTGAGCACTGTAATGAGCACACGTGAGCTAGGTGGCGCAAGCGGCCGCCCGGCACAAAGTACCCTGCATCAATCGTTCATCCGGTCTTGCGTGGTTTTTTCCGCCGTCTCTCGTTTCGCGCTCTCGTTGTCTCGTTGTTGAGCCTAGCTCACGTTGTTACACGTAAGCTAGGCTCACGTGTAGACGCGGGCATGTGCGGGCGCCCCGACACTATATAGCGTGTTGGGTACCAGCCATCTCATCATGCTGTGAAACGAAACCACGTTTTTGCGCGGCGGGAGTTACTTTGTAAAGCAACGGCCGTGGGAAAACTATATTTGGTCCCTGCCTGCCAGTCGCCGTGGTCGCGCGACGTCGAGTCTTGCCTTTGCCACGTCGCTGCAGATTATGGCGCTTTCTAAACTGAAACCTAAGGACCGCCCTAATGTACATCAACATTCCTGTTCTTGTTTAATTCGCTACTACGAAAATCCCTCTGGATCAAAGACTGCTGTGTCGAAGTACTGTTTACCTAGGTTTCTCTCGGTAAGCTTTCTTTCGAGGAGGACTCCATTACGTGAAAAATCTGCCGCGAAAGAGTTGGTGAAGAGAAGTGAGCTACAGCAAAGAAGGCAATGTCTGTTACGCTAAACTCGCACAGCGCGCTTGTTTGTCTCGAGTTCAGTCGTTGCACAAGGCACTCCAAGAACTTTTTGACCCTGCGCTCGTGATGTCTTGCATCAATGTGCTCAGGTTCTTTTTTTTCTGCGTGTTTAGCTTGTACACCGCCAGCCGCTCTGGCAAGCACGAGCGGCTGGACTGCTTTTTGTCGTACACTGGACAGTTACATTTTGTGTACAATTTTGGGAACCAGTTGGCGACTTAGCGGAGTGGAAGGGTTTCGATCGAACAGCTATCTCCGCTTGCATGACAATTTCGCATTGCACTGCAGTGGTAACGTGTATCAACAGTTAGAGATTGCTTCTATTTATTATTTAACTAGTCAACCTAATGCAGTGATATTTAATAATTAAGCGGGTCATTTTAATATAAATTTTAATATATGCAGTTTGGTTCTTATTTACCTTAATCGGGTACACATATATGTAGCATTTTACTGAATCCTTGCAAAATGTTTCATGTCATTGGCAGTTCAGTTACATGTTGAAAGACGCCCAGGTGGTCTAACTTGACTATAATATGTTTACTGCGGCGAGCAAAGTGTCCTTCGTTTGTACAGCACTTGATAAAAATATTTTTATTTTTCTAAGGATATGTGCTCCGAATGCCACTTTTGCTGGTCCGAAACACTGTTCTGGCTGCTCCAAAAGCCACTTTTGCTGCTCCAAAACACTGTTCTGGCTGCTCCAAAGTCCACTTTTGCTGCTCCAAAACACTGTTCTGGCTGCTCCGAAAGATGCTCCAGAACGGCTTAGGCTAATCACATCACTGCCTTAAAGTTGATGTACGACATTGACCGAAATTTAGGACGCCATAAAGCTTATTGCTCAATATTTCATACATAATTTGATGATCTCCTCAGTTTACAGCCAAAAAATAGCATCCGCGATAGCGCGTGAGCTTAGTCACCGCCATTTTGGTTGTTTTGATTTTGCCCTGTAGCCTCAATACCACGTCTTACGCAATAAACAAGCTAGGCGGAGGCTGTAGTCTGGTTTTCCGGTTCCGCTATAGCCAACATGGCTGCCTTCTGTCCATTCTTATGGTTGTTCCAGTTTTTCTTGCGGTTCGTGTTTTTCAAGTGCGACCGCGAGAAGAGCAGCCGTCTGCTGTTCTTGTGGTCTCTGAGTGCGAAGGTTTTACTCCGATAAGCTTAGTATTGAAGCGAGCTTGGTGGACTAAACATTGTCTCCATATAGGTAGTGCCAAATTGCGTCAACTTCAACTTCGCTTAAACTTCGCTTGATGTCAACTTAAAATTGACATCAAGCAGGTGGAAAGTGCACAATACGCATACCTGCCAACTCTTCCGAATTTTTCGTAAAATGTATGAATTGGGACTAATTTTACGATTTTACGAATCTTGCTTCAAATCTTACGAAAATTTATTTATTTTTTTATATTTTTTTGTTGTTTTTATAACTCCGTTGTTGGCGGTATCTTGCAGTGCCACAAGAGGGCGATAGGTACCGTCCACAGCAGTGTCGTGGTTTTTACTATCCGTCTATCTGGTGGCCACGGATCGAAAACCAATACAAAGCTCAAAGGCTTTGTTTGTGTGTTCGGCGGTGCACAGGTGCACGTTGGTTCGGCATGTTCAGACGTTTTTGGGCCTCGTTGTTTCGGCCAGTTTCGAGGCGAGAAGTACGGCGTCTGTGTTTGTTGCACGTGTAACTGTAGCATTCTCCTGGTCACTGTGGCTTCGCGGCGCAATGCCGAACTCGAAACCTCAAAAGAGGTACTTTCAGGTGTTCCTGAAGTCCTACACGTCTAAATTTCCGTGCTTCGTGCCGCCCAAAAAGCGAGAGAAGTTTGGATTGTGTAGCACGTGCACGCTCGCACGCTGGCCAGGCTGACATTAAGCTGCACATCGCTTCGCGTAACCCCCCCCCCCCCCCCCCCCCCCCCCCCGCAGCCGCGGGACTTTTACGAATTTGAAAGTCCACAGGTTGGCAGGTATGACAATACGCAGCAGAATATGTTCGGAAATTTGATATTTTAGCTGAAATTGATTATTCGGACAATTTCGAAGTCCGCTCCGAGTCTAAAAAATCGGTCGGCGACTCTATTCATTTAAAAAAATGTTTTGGTATCTTTTCTAGCAAGAAGAAAATTGGTGTCTCCGTGGCGCAGCCAGAACATGGTTGACACTTTGACAAAAAAATAGGCACTACTAGAGATTTGTCGCAGTACCCCTCTAAAGGGAATCTCCAAGTTAAATTAAAACTCCTCGAACACTGTTACATTCTAGAAATGTCCTTACGCCCATGCTGATTTCAATTTGTCTTTTTCTCCTTGCAGAAGTTTCTTCTTACAAGAGGGAAACCGGGTGGGTGACAATCGCGGGACGACCGAAGACGGTGCAGAGCACTACGACGAAGGACTCTTCCCGGGAAAAGAAGAGGACGGACGACGGGGCTGGGAAGGGATCGCGACGGGGTTTGGGGGGTCCGCATCCGTTGGGGATTCGCGTCCGCCGGGGGTTCGCGTTCGCTCGGGGGTTCGCGTTTGCCGTCCTGGGTGCTCAGTGCCACACCGCCCCCGGCGGGACGCCCCGCGCCGTATCTCCCGCATACTCAGAAATCCGCAGATAAAAAGACCCCGCCCGCACGGGGCACAGAGGCACGCGTCGGGTCAACCTCGAGCGCGTGCACGTCGGACTTCGCGTCACGCTCCGAGCGTCGGTCAGAGGGAGGGTAGACAAACCGCGTGCGAGCGCTTCTTTCTCGAAGCGCGAGAGGGGGAAGGGGACGCGAACCGTGGCCAAAGAGACGGCAGGAAAACGCGCTTAGTCATCGTCCCGAATCGCGTGGTGGCGTGGCGCGACATTCAGCCACCGGATTTCGGGGCGGCTGCGGGGTCCGCTCGCGTTGTTAGGAATAATCTATTGTTGCGCGTGACGAATCAAGTGCCAGGGTCTAGTTCAAAGTTTGCGTGTTGTTGAGTCGTGTTTCGATTAATTCCGCAGGGCATCTGTTTTTTCTTGCGCCGCCCGCCAGAGTTGTTTCCGGTTGCGAGTTCATTTTTTCTTTTTTCTTTGTCCCTCGCGCGTCTTAGGCTTGTTTTTCTCGGTGACGAAGGCGGAAAACTCGCATTCCGTGGGACGCGCGCGCGCAAAAAAAAGGGTATTCCAACGTGTTATATTTTTTTTTCGGTCCAACTTTGCGCGTTCATGACTTAGTATTAGGCTAGCGAGGGTCGAGTGATTGGCTTTCAGACTTTGCGAGATTCCGGCGACTCCTCGGGAGTGAAATGAAATGAAGGAAGTCTAGGGTGTTTTTTGTCTTGTGCTCCTCCGTTGCTTGTTTTTTTTTTCTGTGTGCGTTTTAGTGTTTGTGCGAGGTCTCTATTAATTGGCGAAAGGCGGGATCCTAGACGTTTACGCATGTTTGCTCGGACAACGGTGGTGAAAAACGTTTTGTCATCCCTTTTGTTTTTCCCTTTCCGTTTGTTGGGTCCCCATGGAAACTGCTGGGCGAGTCGGGAGTCGAAAGGATGGCGAAAGCGGAATGCAACGGTCAATTGCATGTTGTTAGGTTACGGAGGTGTCTGGGGAGGGCGGGTTTCTTTTAAAAATACAATTCCTGCGGCCCGTTTCTTTTTCTTTCCCCACCACGCCACTTGTTTGGTTCGTCGCTTTTCCGATTGCATCCGGTTAGGAGTTTAACAGTAACGTTGGGCGACAGTCAGTTTTATGTCACTAAGACGTCCCGTTTGTTTTTGTTTTTCTTTGCCAGTGGCAGCTTTTTTTGTTGTACTTAAGAATATTTTAATGTTTTTGTACAGAGTTGACTGTCTTGGTGTCTTTTACTCTGAGAAGATGAAAAAAAAATTAAGTTCCTCTAGAGATTTTTCATTCAATATTTTTTTTTTTTTTTCCTAGGCGGGGGGTTGCGTTTTCGCTACTGCGTTGTGCCCCCATGGTTACAGTTTTTGCTGGTCAGTTAGTTTAGGCGATGAAACAAATTGGTCTTTTTTGTTTTAGCTTTATTGTTAGACATTTTTTTTTTCCTTCATACTTTTTTCTCAAAGGATCTGTGATGTTATAAAGAGAGTGCAAGATGAACATTGTTGTACAGGGAGTATTTTTTTTCCTCTACCCTTCATTGTTTATTTCTCACACAGATGGACACAAACATAGGACTGGGATGGGTGGGAATCGCGTGGATGTGGTGTGTAAATGCGCGTGCGTGTGTGGCATTTTTTTTAAGCTCCCAATTGTCGCACTTCTTGTCATTCCTCGTGACGAAAGGCTCACCACCGTTTTTTTTTCTTTCCCGACTGCAGTGCTTCGTAACGACAAAAGACGTGACAAATGTTGAGTCAGAAAAGCAAAGACCGTTCCTCACTGCGGATTCATTCTTTTGGATCATGTTCTTGCCTCGGTCTGTTCGGTGAAGATGTTTTTTTTTGGTGGGAACCTCTAACCATAAATTTGGAACTTCAAGTTTGACTGCTCTAACAAAGACGAGAGCAGCACATTCACTTTTTGTATCGCCGTGTGTGTTGCAGAAGCAGTTTCTTGCAGACAACCTGAGTGAACTGTTAACATTGATTTCTACTTCCCGCTGCCGCAGTACTGACAAGGGCTAACTCCAATGTAATTGAGTTTCTAGGCTGGTCCCTAGAATTTGGACTGTTGACTCGAGCAGTGATCTGGTATGTGAGGCTTGCTCCGAGCCTTTGCCACCGTTTTTAGATTTGTTAGCAAACCTCGGAAGCAAAGTGAAGCTTGTTTAGGCATCGAAAGAGCCTGTAGTCTGGCTCCAAAGATGACCTCGGTTCTGTTCGATGTCGTTTGAATTGCAATCTTGGGTGCAGTCTGAGTGTTGTGTAGTTCTTTGTTAGAAAGAGAACATTGTTTGCCGTGCTTCGATTGAGCATAGATTGGACGTAGGTCATCTGCCAAGCCGCAGGCCAGAAAAGGAACTTGCTAGTTTGTTTTCCGTGTGCCATGACTTAGTTCTTTTTTTCATTGTCTGGTTTATCTCCAATATTCTGCAAAGAAGAAATCGTGAACCAGCAGAGATAACCAGCAGGGAAATCCTAGTGACTGACAAAAAAAAAAAAAGAATGTGGGGGCCATGTTGTAGAAAGAAAAAGCGGTATTGGTTTCCTTCAGTGTTCAATGTGCATGAGTTTGTGTGTACCTTTGTTTTTATTCACTTCAAAAACATTCACCTGAAAATGCATGCAGTTGTTCGAAGATCCGTTGTCCGTGTGCATCATTTGGGACACTGGGGGAACTGTGGCAAACCATGATGCAAGAAAGAAGATGCATATGTGGCTGCTCTTTCACTGGCGTGACGGCAGTTAATGTCATTAAACAAACCCAACTATCACATTTTTTTCAGAATGAAAAAGGGCATTTGCATCAGCAAGGTTTTTTTCTTTTTTTGTGTGTGTTTGCTGGCATGGGTAGACAGCCAATTTTCTCTACGATTATGGTCCAGATATTTCACCACTGTTTTCCTTTTCGTAATTCCGAAATGCCTTTCTTGTTTTTCTAATTTTCCAAGTATGTGAAGATTAATGTTAACAGATATCCAATCAGTGTATAGCTTGTCACATGTGCATGGGGGCGCTGTTCAATTTTACATTGGCACAGGTCCCCACCTGTGTGCCAAGCCATAAAATCATTTGCAATGGCCACACCAGAGGGATCTTGCATTACACAGAATTGGGATGACAATAATAACTGCTTGTTATAGCTGTAGTCCATGTAATTTTAGCTGGAATGGAAGTGTACAAATTAAATATCCAGCCATTCAGTTCACAACCTTTTAAGGCATAGACTTCGATGAGCCTTTACAACATAATTTGACACATTTTCCAGTTAAACTTTAAATGATTTTGTTTGTGTTTATTAAAGTAGTGCCGTTAAGAAGATTGCCTAATCAGTAAGATTTGGAGTATAGGTGAGAGTATGCAAATTATGAACGCGGTACATACTACTCTTCCATGGCACAGATTGGCCTAATGCCTCGACGTGTCTATGCTTCCTTTCTGTTGCATTGCCTGGAGTGCATGGGGATGGTTTTCACGACGTCTTGGGTTGTCCGCTCAATTTGCACCAAGTGCCGATAGCGGTCCTTGGAAATATATTTGCGTTTATTGGCAATGTTGCAAGTGGCAGACGTCTGCTAAGCTAGCTTGTTCTTCAGTTGGAGAGCTATTAGTTTGGTAAAAGGTATGTTTGGGCTAATTGGTTGATGTGCATCTTGGTTTAAAAACTGTGCGACAAGACGAGATGGACAATAGCAGTGAACATCAACTGAGAGTTTATTCCCACTGCTCCCGGTAAATATACAAACAAGCAACAGCCAAATTAATGAAGTGCAAAAGAAAAGACAAATGCATGCTGTCTCAGCATCTTATTAGTTAAACAGTGTTGTGTCAAGTGACGTTCACACCCTTGCAACCGAGTAGGACAGAGAGAGAGAAGACCGGTTTTTGAGCTTGCGACGGCGTAGGACCGCAGCAGCAGCGCACCCGGTCCTCCGCTGTCGCAAAAGGCTTAAAAGCCTGTCTTGTCTCTTGGTCCTTGGGTTCCTCGGGTTTGTCACCCTTCCTTTTGAGTATTTTGCTTCCTTGGTACAGTCTAAGCTCATAACAGACCTTGATTCTGACCAAGATTTCAGTACGTTGTAAGAGGGGTATGTTGTGTGCAGATATGAAGTTGAGTTGATGGTATGTAGAGGAAAACCAACTGGACTTCACAAATCGGTATGTTATATCCAAATGTCTGTTGTAACCAGGTCTGTTATGAACATGGACTATTGGAGGGTGCATCCAGTCACGGCTGTGAATTCCCAGATGACGAGGTTTGTTACATTATAGTGGTGTTTCCTTAATCGGTCGTTAATGCACCGTTCGGTTTGTCCGATGTAGAACCTGTTGCGCGACGGAGGAATAGAATATGCGACACATTTTCAACAGTTAACAAAAGGCTGTCGGTGCTCTCTTGTGCGATGTTTCCTCTCTTCCCCTATCTTGTTCACCTTCCTGCAGAGGGCAGACAAATGCTCTGAAGCAGAAAAAACTACTTCAACTTCTGCTCTTTTTCCTATTCTCTTTAAATTGTGGTAAATCTTGCACAAGTAAGGAACGACCGACACTTTTTTTGCTACGGGTTCTTGGGCATTCGTCACTTCGTGAACGCTTTTTCAGGTTTTTCGGGCACTAAAATTAAAATTTTCCGTGGGCAGCCGGCATTCGCAAGTCTGTCTACTTGCTTTAAAGGGATACTTCAACGAAATTTGAAATATTCTTGTCGTGTTCAAAAATAGGTTTCATATGATCCACAATATCCGTAAATGACAATCGCACATTTGTATTTTGAGCCTGGGTGGCTGTATTTTACGTTATAAACGGCCCACTCTGGCAAGCGCTCGGAGAAGGCCTAGCGAAGACCACGTGACATCCAACGCAATCGTGACGTAGGTCGTCTCGGGACGAGCAAAGCTACGGCGAGGCTGACGTCGAGAAGATGGCCTAGTCGTTCCAGCCACCGAAGCGGCTGCTTTTGTATAAATTTTGAGTGACGGGTTAATCTTCTGTAATCTCGTAGGGGGACAATAGCGACTTCTGCGACACACAAAAGGCATTCTCGGGAAGAGGGGAGTTTCTCCTGCCCCTCTTCTCTCGTCGTGGCCAGAGGCGAGACAACCTCCGTCGCTAGCTGTCAAGGTTCCTAGACGGGCATTACAAGCGAGGCGTTGGCGCCATCCACCAGGTGCTCTTTGCTAATCGTTTAATTCGTTCTGAAATTCCTTTTCGTGACCTTTTTAACAAGATATTGGTATGTTCGATGTGATGCTGCTCCTTTGAACACACACGGACCAAAAAAATGAGCGCCGAAATTTCGTTGTAGTATCCCTTTAAGAAGCTATTCGACATGCGGTGGCGACATGATTTAGAAAGGGCAGAATTAAAGCAGGAATTCACAATTCCTCTCTTCACGATCTTGGAATGTGCCGAGCCGAATGAGAGGATCGGCTTGTTACTTCTGGGTTCAAAGGCCCAGCCCAGCATACATGCCAGACTGACAAACGCAGGCCTAGGACTAAAAATCTGATTAAATTGTCGACTATCTATTTGTGCGTCAGTTGCAAGAGTGCAAAACAAGTTCGTTGAGGCACCGTCCGGTCTGGCGAATATAGCTTGTAGGAAATGCTATATTGGCCAGACTGGATAATATAGCCCGTGGGAAACGTTATATCAGCCAGACTGGACGGTGCCTCAAAGATCGACTTCGTTGAGGCTTGACGATGGATGTTTAAACAGCCCATCTCTTACCTTAGCTGCAAAAGAATTAGCTTACCTCACCTTAAGAGGATAATTGCTGCAGACTATTTTACGAATTCGTTTTAATAGGCAGAGAAAAAAATGAGCACAAAACAATTTACAGAGTTATAACAATAGAAGAAAAAGAAGACAAAATACAAAGAGTTGTGAATTCAGTGCTGTGCGTGTATGCCCTTGTGTCTAATTGAGTGAGTGCCTGTTCTTGTGAGACGTTTATGTGCTGAGAAGTAGTAAGATGGAAAACCAACTAGCTCAAGCTGCGATGTAAAGAAGATACCACTTTTGTTTTCAAACGCTACTGTCCCTTTTCTTTCGATGCAGTTATTAATGTTTCGCATTAGTTCGTTATGTGGAGCAGAATAATACAAATCCTTTACATCGGCGGAAAATGACAAGAAGCCCCATTAGTTTGGGCAAGGCAGCTAGCACTGTGCTCGTTTGTCCACCATGTCCTGGCTTCTGCGATGAGCTACAAGAATGGCCACGTAGACCATTCTCCTGTGATACCTGTGACAAAACTGAGCGGCTTGGGACTAATGTGGGAGAGGTACGGGATGCTAAGTACACTAGCGGGTGTCGTGCGTGTCCTTCCAAATGATGTATGCACTAAAAGCTACGTGCTGGTTTGATTGGTCGACTGTCGGTATAGCGCCACGTAATCGCGCTGTTTACGCATACCGTAATATCCCGAGAGATGGCCCACCTAAAATCGATAGCAAATTGGATGAAAACTAGGAGTAGACTAACTTTTTATGTGTCGTAAAAACAGTAAAAAAAAAATTTTTTTTAATTTTGTGATTTTAGAAAGTAGTAACGACTGTCCTTCCCCGTTGGCAGTGTCTGCTTATCTCCCTCTGTGGTTAAGTAACACTTTGCCGAGGTCACCATTGGCCAGGCCCCTGCAATTACTAGAAGTGGGCTATCTTTCAATGTTTCAGAGAAAATAGCAAATCATGCCAAAAATAGGGGTGGGCTATCCTTCGGAGGTGACTCATCTTGGGATATTGCAATACCACTTCGCCCAAGAGGGGCGAAGAGCGGGGTCGGACAAACGCGAGCGATGGATTGGACCGAAGAACACATAGCTTCCGTTGTCCTCTCGGCTTAGCTGAGAATAAAGCATAAGATGCAGCAAACCCTTTCAAAATGAACTTTGGCAGATATGAATTGCAGTGCGAGCTTTTGAGAAGATTCACTTGATTTGTAACGTGAAACATTCTTTGGCTAAGCCCAAAAGTGAAGCCCGGATATAAGCGTGGCCACGAGGCTCGACACTGATTGGTTGACGGGTGGAAGAGGAGCGAGTTTGATACCGGTTGGTTAATAAGGAGGTCGTGTGACCAGAGGGCTAGGGAAGGAGGTGCTCGACCACCTGTGCGCACTGAGGGAGAGGAGCACGAGGTTATGGAAGGCTCTGGAAGATCTCCAGGTTTATCAGCCCGATTGGCGATAGCATGGCGTCATTCAAGGAAAGACTATCAAGTGCGCTCATGGTACGCGTTCAACTATCTGATGGAGAGTGCTGCCAACGTAGGTGTCTGAAAACTGAGTATTGCCAATCGTTTGTGATGCTAGAACGTTCCACATGCAACAATTGTCCACCAATTTGCCATACACTTTGCACCACAAAACTTGCCTTAGTTGAGATGTGCTCGTGCTTAGATGCCTTGCAGGGAGTGCTCATGCATTCGACATCTTGAGGCACATTCTACGTGCCATAAAACACATGTATTAAAAATTTTAAAAAGTTGTACAGGCATTGGAATTTTGAGGCGCCTGGCCTGGAAACGGTGATATGGCAGGCATTTCAACTTCAGAAGCTGGACATGCATAACCCTCCTTTAGAAGAGGCGTAGTAAAGGCACCAAATAGACGGCCAAAGAGGCTATAGAGTGCCACTGATGGGCAGGATGAGGGTGTAAGAAAAAATGGCGCCGGCAAAAATGGTCTTAAGGGACAAGTAGGAAAAAATAGTCCTGAGGGGTAAGGAAAAAATTATTTCCCCCAATGAAACGGGGTGTAACATCAAAAATTTTACACCAGTAATCTCATTTTGATTTGAAGTGCTGTCTTTGTTGTTTTTTGATCTAAAGAAAAGGGGAGGTGCACACCGGCGTGAACATTCGAAGTAGATACAGAGACGTTAAAATTTTATGGTATGGCTGCCACTGTGCAGCAAGTCTAATTATTATCATCCCAGTGGCAAGCTCCTCGCAGGTTTTCGAGACTTTTTATTTCAACGAATGCCGACTCTCTCCTCTCCGATGACCTGCCACATTTGCATGGCTCATGGCTGTGACTGACAGTGCTTCCAAACCCCCTTACACACTTCACACGAGTGTGCCTAACTGCCTCTCCCAGTTTCTGTTCATTACAAAAAAGAAAATAGCACTTCATACCAGATTGCAATTTATGATTATTGTGTTGGGGGAAATTTGCGACACCGCTATCGTTTCAAACCAGATTGCAATTTGCGATTATTGTGTTGGGGAAATTTGCGACACCGCTATCGTTTCCACATAAAATATTCTTACTCCTTCTGGGACCATTTTTTCCACGGTCTTTCAACAGCAGTATAACTTCTGGGGAGACACCCAACTTCCGTGTTGGCCTCTGCACTCTGGCGTATAGTAGTCGATTACTTTCTGCAAACAAGTATTCCCTTCAAAAATTAACTTTCCAAGAACAGGCTCCTAAAAAGCACAAGGGAAGGCGAGAAGCACGTGCCAAAGCACTCAACAGGATGCTTCAATACAAAACCCTAACAGCGTAGCATACACAGACGCAGCCCTGGTTAGTGCCGGTGATGTGGTAGCCGTGGCATGCAATGATCAAGATACCCCACAAGTTACAGCTCTACATGCAACTATAATAGGCGCAATTACGATAGGGGAGCAGGTGGCTATTCATTTGGCCATTACCCAGCACCATGTTTACATCATCACAGACTCTCAAGGCACCTGTTGGGCATAGCTACAGTGAAACCCGTTTAGAACGAACCCAGGTACAGCGAATTATTGTCGAGATCGAACTCGCGATCGTAGCGTTTCTTGCTGTTCGTTATAAACGGGTTTGACTGTGGTCTCGTGCCCGGAAGCTCACCACATCCTCGACACCCACTAACTATGTGAAGGGAAGCGGACCATCAGCATTACCTGGACTCCGTCCCATGCTGAGACCGAAAAGAGGGGTAATGCCCAAGACCATCACTTTTCACGTGAAGAAGCTAACGCCTGTGCCATGGTTTCAGGGGACAAACACCCAGATCAGCAACCGGACCCGTCCACCCCTCGCCACCACAAGAAAATCACCACTTGCTATCGGAAGCAACGGCGTACTCTCCCGGCACCTCATCATACACTTGACAAAGGGGAACAGGTCAAGTGGCGCCTGCTCCAAACCAACACTTACTCAATGCCATCCAGACCCAACCTGCTTTACCCCCAGCTCTACCCCTCATGCCCCAACTGTCAACAGGACCGAGGCACCATCTACCACATGGTCCTGGCCTGCCCTAAACATCCAAAACCACAAGGCACAGCATGGCTTCAAAACCACCTGAACCCATGTGAGATGGCCATCAGAGCCTCGGATGCAGAGGATCAGTGCCAGCTGTTTATCCTAGCCAATGGGACCTCGGACATAGGGACTGCCCCAGGGCGAACACCCGAAGGCATCTTCGACGACTTTAATAAAGTATATTCTCTCCCCTTTCCCCCCTATATTCAATCTGAAAACACTGCAAAGTGGCATGCACAAAAAGCGCTGACAAGCTGGCAAGTCTGACATAATACTCACTTCCAAGTGATGAAATGATTGGTAAATTTGATGGTGTCTTTTGCACACACAAGTTTGGAATATTTTCAGATTGGCTGCAAGAAGGCATAATTTAAGGGTTCTATGCGCAGCAAGTCTGCTTTTTGTGCAGGGGTTGCGGTGATGAGAGAATGATGCCGAGCTCCGATTGGCATAGATTGAAAGAGTAGTAGGTCGACAACGCTAGATGCCTTAAGGCCTACCCACTACTTATTTCGATCAGTAAATAAGAGCTCGGCGTTCAGACATCATTGCAACCCCTATGCAATAAGCAGACAAACTTGTGCTCCGCATGGGAAGCCAACACATTTTTCAGTTTGTGCACTATTCGCAACTTTGGTGACCTATGGGGGCACGCTAGTTCCCATCAAAATGGCTGTCATCTGGATGATCGTCGTTGAATAACGTATGAGGCTGGGTCTGCGACGCATAAGTAATTGTAGTTTTGCTATACACGAGCTGTATTAGAGCCTTACTTTATTTCTTCCCTTCAGGGAGGTGTAGGCAGGTACATTTATCATGAACTAAATCATCCAGGAGAAAGCGATTCTCACACTGCGGTACCACCACCGCAGGAGTGAAGTGGAACCAGTTATCGGAAAAGTTGTTCAGGGTGGCTTGGGTGGTAGCATGATTGTGGACTCTCTGCTTGAAAAATCCAGATTGCTTCTAGGCAAGATCAAAAGCCACAAGGAAAGCCGCACTCTAGCCCACCTGTGATCAGTGAAACCATGGGAGATTGAATTGGGGTTTTACATGACAAACCAACGAAGGGCATCTGGTATGCCCCCCCAGCAGAGGGCTCGAGACTAATTTCAATCACCTGGGGATCTCTAGCTGAAACGAAAAGCTGTTACATCGTCTTTCAGAACAAGCCTCGGTCGGATTGCAGGAATCTTAAACCTAACCTGCCACATGCGGAGCTGTGTGCCAGCAATTTCTCAGAGGCACCGTTTACAAGGCAAAGTAAGGATGCAGGAGAATACACAAAACAAGTTTATTTTAACACAGTGGAGCTTTACAACACTTCACAAAACAATACAACATGTACTGGAAAACCAGGCGAGGTTGCATGCACGGCAACATGAAAGTAAGAGGAGTAGGGAGTCTCCATTCTGAAGCGAAGTGTCCTTTGGCTGTACTGCTGTTTGGTGAGATTCTTGGGGTGCATGCTAGTGCTTGGAGAAGTAGTCCTTGCTTCCCTTGGGGTCGGGCTTCATGGTGTCACCCCCAGGCTTCCAGTTGGCAGGGCAGACTGCAGAAAGGACAGAAACAGGATAAAACCAGTCTTCCAGCATTCAATGACCGTGAGCAATAAAACGCAGGAAGGCCACCCAAGCAAAATTCAAGCCCTGGGCCCGTTTGCTCGAAGCCGGTTAACTTTAACCGCGGTTAAAAGTTAACCGCCCTTCCCTACTAGGTACCTAAAAGTACCTAGCCAAGTTTGACAAGGGCTGGATGAGCGATAGCTCCGTGTTTTATTATGGGGTGGCAGCTGGTGTCACCTCCTGGCTGTAGCGAATATAAGTGGCTTCCGTGGAAAGGTTCCCGAAATGGGGGACCCAAAAAGGCGCGCTACCGTGTTTTCGCGACGCAGCGCGGCATACATTTGAGCTCGGGAAACAATTTTTATTGCTCGTGGTACAGGTAATCGGTAAGGTAAAACTAAATTAACCCATGTTTCGAAAATTTCTAGATATTTGGCTGTCTGAAGTGAAGACATGCCTCGTTGAAATTTCCTTCCAAGTTCAAGAGAGGACGACGAAGTTCAGTCCTAGAAACGATGGGAAATAAGTGAGCATTGAAATGCGGGTGTTACACCGGTAGCATGGTTGGCCGGCATGCAAGAACTGTATATAACTGTCATAAATTGAGAAACCTGTAATTCGGCTCCAGTGAAAATTGACCTATTAGTAAATTACCCTAACATTGAGGAGAACATTGGAAGTGTAATTCAACGATCCGCGCGCACTGGCCTTCCACTTATAAAATATTCGAAGTAACTAATCATAATAAATCGTTGACGAACGCGCGTGCACGGCAAAATTTGTTGTAGGCTTTTTGCTTTAGAATACTTACTACTGCAGACGCCAGCATGCGCAGCGCGTGCAACTACACTCTTATCATGCACCTCGGTGCTTGGGAAATTTAGCTTAAGGTCTATGGGGACGCTGTCTGCTTTTGTGTGCTATCAGTACCGGGCCGACTGAGTCAAGGTGATCCACTTTTCAAAGACGTTGCCATGCCGACAACCGTCTCGTTCATTTAGGCTTATGAATTCCCAGAATCGAAAAACTATCTAAAAAATGTGGCGATGTCATTGCTCATGCTTTGCGTTTTAAGTGAGGTAGGGCAAATCGAAAGCCTCCTGCACCATTCATTGCTGACAAACGCGCCCGATATTGCAGCTGAAACGACGTATTATTTCCAAAGCGAGCGGCGCTCACTCAACGGGGCACCGCCATGTTTCCCCGCAGTCCTTACTCTGCCGGTCACATGACCTAAAATTCCCCCTCGTAAGGAAATCCGGTTAACCGCGGTTAGTTAACCAGCTTCGAGCAAACGGGCCCTGGTCCACTTAATTAGCCAAAAGCAAGAAGAGTCCTGCAGGTGCCAGAAACGGTATGGCTTGTATAACGGAGCAATTCTGGCCACCCTACCTTCGCCGTGCTTGTCCGTGTACTGGAAGGCCTGGACGAGCCGCAGAGTCTCGTCAACCGAACGTCCGACGGGCAAATCATTGATGGTCATCTGGCGCAGCCTGCCCTTGTCATCGATGATGAACAGGCCCCTGTAACGGTACCACAAGTGCCACCGTTTATGCAGATGCCGTAGGGATATGTGCAGACGAATGACAAGCCAGTAAGGACCTCATAGACCCTAGTCTCAAAGGAACATCTTTTTTTACGGGGTTTCTAGTAAGGCTGGAATTGCAAGGATGCGTGCAACACCCTCAAATGCATAGCACACAGAAGCGTACAGTAAAACCTCGTTACAACAAAGTTGAAGGAGCGATCGTAATTATTTCGTTATAACCATTAGTTTGTTATAGCCAATGTCCATTTCTTCCCACTATTAGCAAGCAAGGGGAATTACGATTGCTTTGTTATATCCATTAGTTTGTTATATCCCATTTTGTTATAACGAGGCTTTACTGTACAAATTTCATGGACAAAACAGTGGAATAGATGACCCAGGCTCCGTACCAGTGCCAGTCTTCAACTTGGTCCCATATCAGTCACAAAAGGACTGCCATGAGCATGGACAAATGCCATACACTCCTAAAATAGTTACCGAAGTGGCCAGAGTGAATCAGAGAAACAGCCTATTGCGAAACAGAATTTACGGACCGTCCATGAGCAATGGTTTTTAGTAATATCAGAATGATGCCAAGCTCACGACGCTCCAGCACAACCCTATAAATGGCACTTGACATATAGTCACAAGCGGTCGTAGTGAAGTCTATCGCATTGAAATGCAAATTTGCAAACCAGCTTCCATTCCCAAGATACCCAATTTAGGAGGTATTGTTATAAAGCATGCGAATGTACCACTGGCTTGGTAACACTGGGCCCTACCGGAAGGGGATGCCCTCGTCTTCCTTAAGGACACCATAGTCCCGGGAAATCTTGCAGGTCTTGTCAGCAAGGAGAGGGATGTTCATGTTGCCCAGACCGCCCTCTTTCCTGGAAGTGTTGATCCTACAAGAGGGGTGCAAAATATCTTCACCGTTACAAGCATGTGGTGCTTTGATGGGTTAAATGTAGTGGTCCTGAGCCAACTACCAAGACGCTATCAACAACAGTGGGCAGTTGGAAACAAATTGCCAAGACAACCCCAAAGGTTGGCCTAGCGATCACCCCTACAAGTTGTCAATAGTTACAGACAAGCATTGACCCAAAAGGGGCACTGAAGTGCTCTCCAAAATCCTTGCTTTATGGCCATAACTGTATTTACAAGCTCCAAGCATTTTAAAAGTCCCTACATAGTCTGACTACACTGTCTATCAATATACATTTAAGTTCAATTATTGAAGAGACATCACCGTTACCATTTCTCATCGGTGAAGAGCTATCTGGTCTGAACAGTTTTTAAACATGGATATGCTACAGACAAGGCCAATGTGCGGCATGCATTTCCAAACCCGGGAAGCAGACAATGCAGGTCTGCGTTCATTGGCAGCAGGTGAGCGGCGTTTGGCAACTTCCGGTTCCTAAGGAATGTTTCACCGTTGGACAAATGACTGAGGTGCAAGCACAATTCCGAAACCTCTAGACTGGGGTTTTCAGAACACACTTAGACAGGCTTGCAGATCATTGCCAACAGCTATACAAAATTTACTAAAGAACCGGAAGTAGCCAAACACCGCTCATCTATTACTTGAACAGAAGCACAGAAAAATTTTAAACACCAGTACCATTATGTAACAAAAAGACTGTATGGATGCATGTAAGTCAAGACAACGTCCGCTTCAATCTAATAAGACGAGTACCGAGGAGGAAGACCTTAGAGCAGCGTCTCATCGTTAAATCTTGCTAGAGAATGCCAATCTGTGTCGCCACGAGGCGGGTCCCTGGAGGTGTGGTCGAAAAGGTTAAATCTGTTAAATGAATGAATACTCACTTGAATAGCTTTCGTCAAAGTATTTAGAGGTTGGTTTTTTCTTGCAAAATTGAAAAGCGTAGCCCCCTCCCTTCCCGTAAAAAATAGGGCCAAGAAACTTGCTAGAGTCAACGGCGGGTGGCGACGCAGACGACCAAGTAGAGTTGTGGGGCGAATTTGGCGAGCATACCGATAGATTGCGTCTGGAGCAGCATGGGAAGATGCAGCCGACCAGCGAAAGGAGACGACATGCAGACGAAATCCGTTGGCAGCAGAAGTGCAGTTATGCAGACACGTTTGTTTTTACTTCAATTGTTTCCTTTATGTTCTGCATTTATTTTACAACCAAAGGTACATTACAAAAAGGTTATGTTAATTTTAATAAACCACGGTTGTCGCGAGACGTCTCGATAAGCAGGTAGCACCATCTACCCATATGAGTGCCAAGCAGGCCCCGACACCCGACTCTTGTCAGAGTGGCTGCCTGCCATTGACCCTGGAAAGTTCCATGGCCCATTGTTATACAGAAATGAAGGTACGCTTTTAAATTTGGAAGAAAACCAACCTGTGAAATGCACCTTTGACGAAAAGTTTAGATTGCTACGTGGAGGCGTCAAATATTACGGTCCATTTTAAATCAAGCCTGGCGACTTCGGACACCCTATACATTCAGAGAAAGTTGTAAAGTTAACCAATTTGCCCCATTGGCGAAAGAAAACCACAAGGCTGACACGATGGAGGGAAAACAAGGCTAAGGGAGAGGGCATACACACCAGGCAAGATGGCAGAAGTGACTATCCGTCGAGCACGCCACCACTTCGCAGTTGATCTTCCTAAACTCCTCCACATGGTCGCTGAAGGCAATGATCTCCGTGGGACACACAAAGGTGCTGAAACAAGGAAGGCCAAAGCATTTTTTAAGGCTGAAAACCACCACACTCCACCCATGCACATAAAACATTCGCCATTACTTGAACTTGGGTTTAGTGACACAGGCCTAAAAGTAATTTTCTCGCTCAAAGTCAAATGTGGGGGTTTTACATGCCAAACCTACGACGGGCATCTGGCACGCCCCAGCGGAAGACTGAGGATTAATTTCGACCACCTGAGGATCTTTCGACGTGCAACCGAAAGCTCGGTTACCACAGCGCCTTCTCCGCAATAAGCCTCTGTCATAATGCGGGCACCTCGGTCGGGATTCGAACCCGCCACCTGGGGATCTGTAGGCCGGCGCTCTCGCCTCGGAGCCACCGAGGCGGCTAATTTTCTCGCTCAAACAGGTAGACAGAAATGCAGTGAAGTGCAAGAGCGGTAGGGCATCGCAACACTTTAGAAGAGACTAACTCTCCAAAGAACTTGTTAAGCACCTGGAATGAACACAAAACAAATAGTTCCCAACATTTATATGCAAAAACGTGTGCACCATTAGAGTGCCGCGCGTGCAGCTGGGCAAGTAGGCAGCACGGCCGTGGCCTACGGTTATCGTGCTTGCTTCCCACGCGAAGCAGGTTGGGTTCAATTCCTGGGAGCGACTGGTCTTTATTCTTGCAATCTAGTGCTCCAGTACATTCGAGAACTCTGTTGCTTGTTCGAGGTATGAATGTTCTAGTCGCCGAACCTTCTAGGTCGATTGTTCCAGAAGCCAACGCGTGTACATAAGGGGCTCCGCGTGTCAATCCACAGACAGCCTCCCCCTAGCGCTCAATCCTGGTCTTTCGCCGGCGTCGACAAATGCAACGCTGGCCTTTCCATTTTGTTTTGGGCACAAGTTTGCCCCATTAAATGTTTAGTTTCTTCAGTTATTCACCACCTCATCATTTGTCATTCGTGACAATAGGCACACATTTGAGGTACATACGTGCGCACCAATCTTTCCGGCTTCTCGCAATGCCAAGGTCAATCGTTGGCACCCTATATGCAAGTTAAACCAACTGGAGTAAGTGCCATCACATGTACTCACAAGTCAAGGGGATAGAAGAAGAGAACCAGGTATTTTCCCTTGTAGTCTGAGAGCTTGATGTCCTTGAATTGTCCGCCGACGACTGCGGTACCGCTGAAGTCCGGAGCGGGGTGGGTCAGCTTGGGAAGTGCCATCTCTCTGGAAAGGGAGAAGAGGGAAACGAAATACATTAACCTCTTAGCTAATCACGACCGTGCTGTCCGTCACAGCACCAAGAAGCCCAACCCCAGTGCGGCTCGTGTCTTGAAACTCTTTTATATGCTACGACAGAGAACTCCAGCCCGCTGCTCACCCTCTTGTGGACAAACAATGGAAGGGGCTGTCGGCCATGGCATTGATGTCACCAGACGGATCCGGGCGGCATGTTTGTGCAGTTTTAACGAAAAAGGCGAGTGGGTTAACGGAGAAATTTTAGCATTCAGCTCCACCACAGAGTAGCATGAAGAAACCGGGATGTCCCATTTCATTACGGTCTCTTCGTGGGACACAATGCTGTGCATTTCGGGTCCTACAGTCTCAACCTGTACGCAACATGACAGCGTCAATGCAAAGGTCTTCTTTAGTCGACAAACAAAAAGACAAAAGCTTGGTACTTGCAAGTGATGAGTGCTCCGCTATGGTATGACTTTGATGACGAGTCATACTTTGGAATATTGGGAAACTCGTTAAAGCGGGCAATTTACACGAAAATTAAAGAAAATATTCACTTAGGCTCTAGATCTAGTTTGCAGCTCTTCCACCCTCTTGAATGTTTCCAAAAGTACCACACACTAAAGAACTTTTAAATGGACACATCCGATAGCCAAATAGAAGACCGAAGTGAATGTTTTCTTATGTATTTACACGCAAATTGCAGACTTTAAATAAATTTATCGCAAGCTTCATATAAAAGGAAAATACCTCTTTCATAGTTGCAGACTTTAAATAAATTTATCGCAAGCTTCATATAAAAGGAAAATACTATGAAAGAGGTTGAAGAAACAAAGCGAAATTGGATTCGCACTGCTCCACATATGCGATTCCCGCAAAAGCCAGAAGCACCTGTATCTCTCGCAAATGCAACGGCGGTCTGCAGCTGCGCTTGCTGAAGGCCGTGCTCCGTTTATCGCCCAGTCATCATGCAGTGCAAGCTACATCGCTCGCCAAACCCAATCATCTGTATTACCACGACACTGCGCGCAAGCGTGCGCAAAAAGCTCGATCACGTGGTGCGGACCGACGTTGATTGGACCGACGTTGATTGGCGGAGATACGCAGCTTTTCGTGTAATTATCATACTGTAAAACACGTTCAAAAACAGGATACAATTTTTTTTTTTTTTTTTCCAGTTAGATATACAGCACTTTCGGGGGATGGTGACCGATTGTTTCCGGTGTCAAATTAATTGTTTCTTAAAGCAATATTTGGCTTTACTTTACGTGCACGCGTCTACAGCCAGATGCCGGACTTGTACAAATACTGATAGAAAATAGTAGATTAATTCAGGATCGAAATACAAGTCTTGTCAGAAAAACCTTCACCGCGATTTCTCCTGTTTTGTAGTTTAACATCGTGCTTTTTACATCGGTTAGCACATTGGAAGATACACTACCTCCAAAATTTCCCGCAGATCGGTACCTCAGCAAAATTTTCACTTCCGCCTTCAGTGGCCGAGAAACTCCCTCGTTCGATCAGATAAAGGTCGAGCTGAGCGCTAGATGATAAAGCCACGTTATCTACGGGCAAACCCCTCGTAGTAAATCCGCTATCAGCTGACGTAAAAACGAGGGGCACGCGTAAGCGCGCTTGATTGCACAGGCGATAGATATTGCCTAATATTCTTTCCGGAAGGCAACGGAATTCTCGGAAACGAATCACAAAGAAAAATTTCCGCAGCAGGCCTTCGTATGTAGAGAGGCAAGGCATGTGCTCCGAAACAGTTTCCGCGCTACTGCCCACGAAACTACTGACCGAGGTTCAGTGCGACGCCAACAGTAAATTTCGGCAAAGATCAAAGCGGAACAATGTGACAAAGGACACAATCACACGAGACGACGGCGCTGCTCGAGGCCGAAGAATGAATTAAATCATCACTAAATTAATGCCACCGGCATCATTCGAGCCCGCAGAATCAATTATTCCGGTTATCTTCGCTGATCCCGATAGAAAAACGACGTCCGCTCACCGTACTTTGCGCAGGAAGGACAAAAATCCAAATTGACGACCGGCACACTGCAACACAACTTGCCGCTATCTGCGGAAGAGCACGTTCGCTTTCTACTCTTTATGCGGTTTTTCCCGTCTATGCGTCACGTGATGTGTGACGGCAACCGGATGTGCATCGGCGCGCACATCGCCGGCGCGCCGTTGTGCTCGATTTCCAGAATGTTCTCGCCTTCGATACCGTTGGTTTCGCTAGTTTCGCGAGTTTCGCTGTAGTTTCGCCCATTTCGCTCCGTACTTCGGTTGCGCGCGAAGTTTGTTTTCGCTCTCTTTCGCGAACCCCCCAAAAAAAAAATACTTTTTAGACATGAGGAAGATACATAGAAAGGGGGGACGGACACGCTCGTTTTGTTCTTAAAATACTTTTGACGGCGATTTCCTATCGTGTTTCTAAATCAGCGTGGCTTCGATTGGTTGCTTTCAACATTTAAAAGTATCAAATGCAATACTGTGTAACTACGACGCGGACCTGTTCAGAATTTTGGTCTTACTTTAGGAGAGCGGGTGTACGATCAGTTTAAAAGGATATGGAAGTTGGGCGAGTTGGAACGATAACGTAACGGAAAAACAGCGCGAAAAGAAAACGGACGAAGAACAAGAAACTGACAGCACCCATCGCTGTTTTTGTTTTTCGTTATGAGAGAGAAAGAAAACACATTTACTGACCCTCAGTTCAGGGTGTCAAAGTGGTGTCCAGGAGGACGCCATTCAGCAGGGTGAGGATAGGTGGATCATGGATATACGTACGAGAACAAGAGCAAGCAGGGCAGCGCTGTGTCCAGTCAGTTCTTGCTCTTTGCTCGTTGTCTTTTCGCGCTAATTTCTATTATGATACGATCAGTGTTGTACTCGACAAGAGTATAGCTGCTTCACAAAGTACTTCGAGCAGTATTTAAGTTCGTGACAGGCTACTACTGAGTAAAGAAAGTATATAGTCAAACCTAGAAGTCTGCTGAATGTCATAATTTCTCACAAGTGGCGACCTTCAGTGCAGTGCCTATGCTGACGTGACGCAGTGGCACGTAGCTTGCTTGCACTGCCCGCCAGCTTAGCAGTCAAGGGTGTAGACTTCAGTTCAGCCAGTCCATACATTCTTTCGTCATAAGACAGGGCCGCCTCACTAGAAACAGCGTCTCAGCTGAGACTGGGAAAGAAAGCACTGGCAAAGCCAGCGCCTGAGCTGAGCGGGGCTCGAACCGCGTGTCAAATGCTCGCGCGGTCCAGCCTTTGTTGCAGTGCTTCCTTTCACACAGCTGAGACAGTCTCAGCTGAGACGCTGTTCTAGCAAGCCGGCCCAGATGTCGATTATTGGAATGGTCAACAGACCTTTCCAATAATCAGCCTCTGCGCACTGCCATCTTTTTCTACTGGCTGTCGAGCGTGTGCTCAATGTGCGCACAGCAGTCTTCTGCGAAATATCCGAAGCCCAATGACTCAGCATTTTCCGCGTGTGTGATAAGGGCTGCAAAGGTCCCTAGACAGTCGAAACGGACCTGACATAACTGAGCTTAGCTCAGTTTGACTTGAACCATATACTGACCTAGGGTGCCTTCATGTCCCGCATGAAGGCACTCTATATTGACCCTCGTACGGTTAACATTAATTGTATAGGGGCGTGCGAAGAATGGCGCCGTTGTCCTGAGCTTCAACAACAGTTTAGAGAACCGGTTATGGTGCATTCCACCCATGTACAGTGAAGGATATGAACGTGAACATTTGACAGAGGACGTCTGAATGGGCCAAGACTAATTGGAAAGGGGGGACGTCCAACCAAGCCCTAGTTAACTACCCAACGTTTTGAGGCCTACTCGGCCTTTGCTTCGGGGTTGCGGCTGTAGCAATGGCCATTGAGGAGCACTATTTTTGTTTTTTATTTGTATTTTTTTTTTATAGTGGTACATTTCTTTATCGGCCAATGATATCGCGAAGCCCTTTCACGTAGGAGGATGGTAAGGGATACGAAATGACGTGGCGCTATTCGCGTCGAATCACTATTCCCACCATCCCTAATTAATCGTGGAAACAGCGCTTGAAATGCGTATACGGAGCACTGTTCGACTCGAACTCATCCTGTTGCTGCTTCCAGCGAAGCGCTCGGCCGGGACTTGGGAGCGTTCGGAATTTCCGTGCAACATCCCCCGCTCCGACATCATCATCACCTCCGCACGACGCATGCAGCGTGGCGCACAGACTCTCGCGGAAGAGGCGAACCTCCCCGTGACGTTGTGGAAATGGTTCGTCGCCGACAATGCCCGAGGCTTTCTTGGCAGACTGCCGCGCGCCGCCCTTTCCCACCCTCGTGCGCTCCTCGTACCCACCTCTTTGGAATTCTCGGAACTGGCTCCTAAGAGTAGGAGTAGCCGAATCACGCTCAGATCATTCGCGGCTCTGGCAGCGCGTGAGAGAGGGCGAGCAGACGTGAACTCAGACAGTCCTGGCACGTCTGAGCACCTGGCTAGTCCGACCGGTCAAGCAAAGTCACCTAGTTGCCTTCGCCACATATACAACCGTCTGACTTCCTCAAACACGCACGGTCGTGGACAGAATAAATTGACCAAAAGGCGTGAACGCGCTTTGTAGGGTTCGCGTACACTTGATCGGGGCGTTGTGCCAAAGCGTGTGTGCGTATATTGGAAACGGCGGTGTCGAACCAGTGATTATCAAAATTTCGCCGGCGAGGTTTTGAGAGTCACCAACTTGCCTCACAATTGGTTCAACAGATTAATATACACATCTAAGTTCAAACATTATTGTAAATATTCCTTTGAGGAATACATTTATCTGTGAGGCCGTCACAAAAGGCATTGGCATGCTTGACAAAGCGACAGCTCCCCCCCCCCCCCCCCCCCCCCTATTTTTTTTTTTTCACGGCCAGACAATCCAGCGTGCTCAGACAAAATGAATGTCTGACCGAGGACGACAAACTACTAGTAACCCAAATTACAAGTAAAAAAAAAACTTACTTTTCCCCGCCCCCCCCCCCCCCCCCAAAAAAAAAAAAAAAAAAAAAAAAAAAACGTTTATGTGTGGAGGTTGTACTGGCAAGGCTGGAAACATTGCTTCAACTATTGTAATACGGGGGCAGCTGTACCCGACGAGTTACAGGAACCTTGGTGGTGTGAAATGTTTGCTTGTGAAGCTCACACCAACGAAACAAAATAAAACGCACAAAGTGATTTTTATTTTTTTTTGACTGCCTTCTCGATTTGTAAGTTCGACAACATGTGATGTGTCCGCACTTGCGAGCGTGGGAAGATTTGAATTTTGGTTTTGACGTAGCCTTAATTTGCCATTTTCTTATTAAATATTTTAGTTCAGAGATGAATAACACGCCGGAAACATTAAAGCTTGGCTATTAAAAAAATGCGTTTAGGAGTTTAAAAAAATGCCGAAAATTACTCAAATAGAAAAAAAAAATCTTCGCACGTCTCACCAGGTGCACCTAACCAGCCGGCAAACCACTAAAACTTGCCTTTATGTATATATATATATATATATATATATATATATATATATATATATATATATATATATATATATATATATATATATAAAGTGCTTATTATTAGCACGATTTGTTTTATTGTCAATAAAATGCGTGTACTCTACGTTCATATCACACGCGAAGTTCTTACACGAGGTCATTCTCGTTCATAGAGTGAGAATATGCCCCAAACAGAACGATTTAGGCACGCATTCTTTTCCGCCGATCCTTCCAAATGGTACTCTTCATCTATTCGATGGTGTCAGAGGTCGAGGTGGATCAGAAAGGAGAAGGAAAGGGGGGGGGGGGGGTGGGGGGTCGGTTATCGCCACCTCTTTCAGATATTTTCCCATAATGGTATATTTTCCCGCAAGTATGGAGTGTCCCTCGTACCCTGCTGCTTGCGTTTGAAAACTTCACACTATTTCAAACCTCGTTTAATGCAGCTTTTCTAAAAAAAAAAAAAGAAAAAAAAAACATTGCGATGTTGTAATTTTTTTTGATTTCGTAGCCACGACAAGAATATTAAATTTTTGTCACAGCGGTGTAAAGCGAACATAGAGATGTAGGACGAAATTGAACACACAAGCTGCGCAGTACCTACATAATGGCAAAGATAAATTGGTCAATTTCACTTGGACGCTATTTCGACATACGATTTTCCAGACGCTTGTTTTTTTCAACGCAAATCTATTTTTTGACATTGTTTTTGTACAGGCTAGAAAATATGGCGTCGCTGCACAATTTCACGTGGCAAAGTATGACCCAGATTAACAGCTGCAAGCTAAGCAGGCAATGCATCTGGACTCCCGCTGCCTTTTTGTTGAGCGTTTAAAAAATATAAGGTTGTACGGCTTCGTACGGCTGCATACTATAAGCCCCAGAAAAAAAAAAAAAAGAAAATGAAAGGGTACGTGCTTAGCATAGGAGGCTATGGTAGAGCACTCACAAACAGCTAATCTCTGCGATCCACAAAAGAAAAAAAAAATGACGATGCCGAAAATTCAACTAGACGGAGGATTTGAAAGCGCAAAAGACTGAGAAGAGGAGGAGGGGACAGGACAGAGCGCTTACTTACAACTGTCAAATTTAATAGAGCATCTTGAGAACGACAAGGTGGAAGTGAAAAAAAAAAAAGGAAGAAAAGAAAGGTGAATTTAAAGTCACTGCTGCTAAAAAGAACATATTTAGTATTATAAATTGAAATAAAAATTATTTTAACTTAAGCCAAAGGCAAAGTACTTGTCACGTAAAAAAACCCAAAAACTCTATACTACAAAAAGCGAAAGAAAAAGAAAAACATGAAATAGAAGAGAAAAAAGAAGAGAAAAAAATTACGCTGAGCAAACGGCTAAAACGTCTTCAGATAAAACACCGCTAAAACTGAAGTTCTCTCTGTGTTTCTTTTGTTTTTTTTCTCTTCTTTTTTCTCTTCTATTTCATGTTTTTCTTTTTCTTTCGCTTTTTGTAGTATAGAGTTTTTGGGTTTTTTTACGTGACAAGTACTTTGCCTTTGGCTTAAGTTAAAATAATTTTTATTTCAATTTATAATACTAAATATGTTCTTTTTAGCAGCAGTGACTTTAAATTCACCTTTCTT